TCCAGAAGTGGCATCCACACAGAGAACCGGTTGTTCACATATTTGAATTCCACCACTGATTGTAAGTCAAGAACTACATGTACAAACTTATCAAATTGTATTTTACCCTACCATGTTCTAAGAGCCCAGCCTGTGAAGAGATGTACACTCAGAAAATGAATGGCAATTCTGAATGTTAAAGCAGGGTTTATCCCATTGCATTTGAAGATACTAGGAAATGCACTTAGGAGTGGCTGCATATAAACCAGAGCAATTACTTTTTACAAGTAACACTTGCACTTTTCATCTCAATCCAGATCTCCTGAATCTATGAAATAGCTGGCAAAGCCATCTTTAGCTTTTCAAGCAATTGCTGTTTAGTTCCTTCAGCACCGACAAAATACCATCCGAAAAGTTCATTTCTAGAATTGGAATTACAGTGTAAGCAACTAGGAATGGAACTACTAAGAATCATGAAGTCCTAATTCAATTTTTGTTTGAAATACACTTATTGTGTGATTCAGTCAAACTCTCTTCTGTGACACAGAAATAAAAACTCTGTATGACCATAATATCTTTTTATGGCTATTTTAAGAGTATGTTCATCAATGCCTTGGATTTTCTTATTAGACTTCAACAGCCACCCATCTCACATATGTGATGAATTCTTATATGATTATTACCACACTGTATTGTCAACACTGTAGGAAGACTGCATTACCGTTTATTGTAGCAAAAATAAGTTAGTTAGTTATTCAAGACTACTGTACCCAGTTTCATTAAAAAGCACATTTTTTTTTTTTCTGAGCTGTACTCTACCTCAGATGCAACTTTTGAAAGGGGCTACTAGCTTCCGATTCCGCGTTTTTCAATCTCGGCAACTTTAACCTGTGTGGACTTTCACTTCCAGAAATCCCCAGGCAGCGTTCTGGGAATGCTTTAAAGTTGCTGAGATTGAGAAACTCTGTGTTACGTGGCTGAGAAATCCGTTTTAGGGGACACGTGTGCACTACTTTTGCCGGTCGACTGAGCAAGGAAGTTAACCGCGGGGGCGCATATTCCAAATTAAATTCGTACCTAACGAATCCTTGGGTTTAGAGGGGAAGAAGGAAAAACCAAAGGAAGGCGGGGTACAAGTTTTGGACTTTTTCCCAGCTGCAAGCTATTTACTGATGTCCCGTTCAATTCAACAGAAGCCATTAAGAGCCCAAACCAAGGCAATCGCCTCCTGGGTTGTGCTTCTTCGTCTTGCGGTTTTCTTGGCATGCAACCCCGCTAGATTTCTGCCTCCGTTTCTTCTTCTTCCCGCTCTTCCCCCAGTTGCCCTTTTTTACCTCGACAGGCGCGGTCGGTGCGCAGACCCTCCCTGTCCCGTTCCGTCGCTTCTTCCTCGCTTCCTTGGCCGGCAGCTGAGTTGGCTGACTCTCTCTTCGAAGCGAGAGCATGGCTGGCTGCTGGCTCCCTTAAGCCTTTTACTCCGCCTCCTCCTGGAAACACTTCACTTGAGGGACCGCCTGCAATTCTCAGCCTGTTTAGACAGGACTTGCAAGGAACGCAGAAATGGTTTGGCCGTCCCAAAGATGTTTTTCATACAGCCAGTCGCTTTGATTACATGGGTAATCTTCCTCTTCAAGCACAGCTAGTATTGAGATTTTAGAGAACTGAAGTATCATATAAGCATTTTAATTGTTAAAGTGTTGTAGCGATTAGGAGGCATGAGATACTGATCATGCTTATTCTTGGACCAGGAAGCCCTGCTCACTGTCACTTCTTGATTGAATTAATGCAACAGACTCTACTCTGCTCTTGAAGACTAACTGGAAGCTTTGGTTCAACCAGAGTGCATCAGCACAAGTATAGGCATGTTGTTTTGCCCATGTAAAACCAGTGCTGCACTTGTTTCCAGTAGGTTTCCAGGTGCAATTCAAGATGCCAGTTGTCATCTTTACGGCTCTAAAGGGCCAGGATCCCTCAGGGAATCATTTTCTACCAGGTACATCTGTACCTCCCACATGCTTCCATAGGAAGGGCTTGTTTCAGGTCCTGTCTTTTACATTTTCTCATCTTATGAGGACGAGGAAGGGGCTTTTTCTGTGGCTGCCCCCATTTGAATGATGTTCAAGCCCACTCCCACCCCACAGCCAGAAGCCTACTGGGAGCCAGTGCTGCTCACACAACAATGGTGTTACACAGATATACAACGTATGTCCACTACTGCCATGTCACTACTACCTTCTGGACCAAATGTAGCTTCTAACTACTCTTCAAGGGAGCCCCATGTAGAGTTCATTGAAATAGTTCAATTGGGAGGTAACTGAGAAGTACCCCCTATCTAGGAAAGGGTGAAACTGGAGCACATGATGTACAAAGGCTCTCCTGCCTTTGAGCACCTGCTCTCTGAACAGGACCCAAGATTCCCAGAGAATTCCAAATTGCACACCAGCTGAGACTAGGGAAGTGTCACCCCAGCCAGAATTAAAGATCTCAATTCACCAGATACAGGTACCTTAAAACTCAATCTTGTCAGAATGAACAAAAGCCAAATCTTCCTATTCAGATTCAAATAGCCTCCAGGAACCGGGGAAGCACTTCAACAGCATCACCTGATTGGCCCAGGGCAGAGATATACTGTATAGCTGAATATCACAAAGATGCTGATGGTATGTATATATTTTTAACATTCCCTCAGGACAAAGAAATCCAGAATTATTTGAGTATATTCCTCAGGAAAATTCCATGAACATGTCCATATAGTCCAAGGAGTTGAGCTGAACATGTAGGAATGATTACCTTCCACTCTTGTTTAATCTAGCTTGCTGTGATCCAAGGTGTTGGGTGTTCAATAGGAAGTCAAATGTCATTGTGGTAGCATATTAATATGTACAGAGAAAATATAAGACACAATCCTTGTGGCAGGTAATAAGTCTCCCACAGAGCCACAGTATATCTCAATAGATGTGAATAAGATTGGAAATTTACAGGATTATACTTCTTTTAATATTCTTCATTGTGCATTTGTATTTGTATTAATATGTGAGCCTTAGCACTCCTCCAGCAATGAGGATTAAATAATCGATGAAGATCTCTAGAATAAAATACCTAAGGTAAGTCATTTTGGTAATATACTGCCTCTAGCTTGACCAAAGACTTGTTCAGGCAATGTAAGCAAGAATAAAACTGGAACCTGGAAAAGTCCATAACACTGACAGCAGAGGATTTGACAGGTATATGCAAACAAACTAGAATGATAAAACAGTTTAAGGAACTATTGAAACAAATGTCTAATATAGCTCAAACAGTTATCAAGCATATATTCTCTCATACAGAGTGCATTTGACATAGAAATTTAAATAGAACCTTTATTTATTTGTGTATTCATCACATTTCTATACTGCCCATCTCATCTAAGTGACAAAGATACAAAGACTCAAGAGACACCAGAAAAACATTTCTACAGCTCCCATGAGAGCCAAAATTATTCAAAAGGCACATTTGCTGGAAGAAATACATTGGGAAGGAAATAAAATGGTATTATATTAGGATATCAGCCAAGCTACTTTATCAAAAAGAATGTTCAACCTCCACAACTGACTAAACAAGGAACAATATAAATAGAGGGGAGGGCAGGGTGTGTGTGTGGTTATTCGGGCCTCAAGGAAATAAAATAATTTCTACTTTTTAATAAACGAACAGAATTTTGGGTGATCTGCAAAACCACCTGCACTGTTAACATAAAATTACTTTTGAACTCCTAAAAGACATATGCTGTAGCTGTAATAAGGGAATGGAAAAGTTAGCAGAAACAATTAGGGCTATGATTCCTGTAAGCTCCCAAAATATATATGGGGAGGGGGGAGGAGAAACAAAAAGAACTCAGTTATTTAGAGACAAATAAAATGTCCAGAAAGCTTTAATTTCTCAGCCTTAGGAAGAAGGCAATGGCAAGGCACTTCTGAATAGCCTTCCAAGGAAACTGCAGGTATTTATTCTCTGAGAGATTTGGACAAGATTGAACGGGGTGGGGGGGATTGCATAGAGCTTGTAACTATGACAAGTTTAGAGTATAAGAGCTGTTCTCAGAAAATGCAGATAGCAGGAGAAAGAAACTAGCATACAAATGAAGGAGGAATAAGTTAAGGAGGCAGCATTCTTTGGGTTGGCATGTAACAATCCCAGCATGTGCATTAAATAACTCTTCAAAAAAGCATATGGACAATTGCAACCATGAAAGTTCTTCACTTTGACCTATTAATGCTAAACCAGTTTCCCAAATAAGCTACAATAACAACAAGCTTAAGGCAGATTGCATGGTACAAAACACAGACACCCCACTCTGCTGACACATAGTTAAGAGATAAAACCTATTCGAAACACCTAAGATAAAAAAAATATTTCATTTTATTCAGAAAGCTAATATTTTTGTCTTTTGTCCTTTTTAATGTACACTTTTAATGTCTTTGCCTATTTTTGAGGTTTTTTGTTTGCAATGATTTTTTTTTTTAGAAAAGATGGAAAAAATTATGAAGGCAATCTGTAGTTCAATGTATTAGTCATGGCCACAACTGTTTTATGTATTTTTAACTACAAAGAGGATATTTTAAGACTTATATTCTGCCCTTTCTCGAAATCACTTTCACTGTAGAATGTATATTGAGGTCACAAAGATCACGAGAAGTTTCCCTATGGAAAAATTAACAAAACCACCTAACAGAATTTAATTATCGCCCCATAATAAAGAATATCAGAGCGATATATTGGAGATTGACTCTGAATTTGTTTCCGTTGGTCTAGGTATGCCCACATCCTTTCTTTAAATAAAACATCAAGAGCCTATATTATCGGTTTGGTTTGTTTTCCCCTAAAGAAGCACAACAAAGATGCGTTGCGTACTATGGGAGGGGAAGGCGACGGGAGTGTTTTGTCTGTTTGCGTTTCTCAGGAAGTCTCCCAAGTGGTAGATCGTCCCTTAGCCTCGACCTGCCCCGGAACAGCTCCGTTCGTATTCCGTCCCACGCCAGAACTCCTCTCTGGATTCCCCGCCAGAGGCCACCGGAAGAACCTGCCGGCGGGCCGGAAACAACGAAAAGCAGAGAGAAGCTGAGGTCCTCGCTCGCTCGCTCTGTTTCTCGGGGGGGCGTTTGCGCGGCGACGACGACGACTTCCGGCGAACGCTCCGAGTGTCGGTTGCTGCTGTCATCGGGCCGTAGCGCCGGCAGCCCCTTTCCGCCCCCGAGAGCACCCTAAGGTCGTCCGCCGAGCCGGAGGAAGGGTTGAGCCATGTCGCGCAGGCGGCACAGGGACGAGAACGACGGTGAGCCGGAGGGGAGGGAAGCGGAGGGCGAAAGCCCTAGAAGGCCGCCTTCTCCTTGCGCCCGCGCCGTTGCTGCTTCGGAAGACCTTGGCGCTCTCCAGATGCGCTTCTGGGGAGAAAGTGCGGTAAATCATGGAGGCCTCCCCATCGCCTCGGTCCAGCTGTTTGACCGAGCTAGAAAGCAGCCGGGCCAGTTGATCTTCTGTGCTTGGATTGGCCAAGTCAGAGGAAAAAAACTCAGCTCGCTGGGTCTGAGCTCTGAAGTAGAGAGACCAGGGCTCTTCAATCGGGAGTTTCCAATGTGTCCAAGATTTTGTCCTGGGCAAAAATGTTGGCTTCTTACATTACAGGTAGTCCTCCACTTACGACCAGAGTTGAGTCCAAAATTTCTGTTGAGACATTTGTTAAGTGAGTTTTGCCCCGTTTTACGACCTACCTTGCCAGAGTGCTTAAGTGAATCACTGCGATTGTAGAAGCACGGTTGTTAAGTGAATCTAGCTTCCCCATTGACTTTGCCTGTGAGAGGTCACAAAAGATGATCACATGACCTTGGGATACTGCAGCCCTCATAAATATGAGCCAGTTGCCTAGTATCTGAATTTTGATAATGTGACTATGGGGATGCTGCAAAGGTGGTAAGTGTGAAAAATGGTCATAAGTCACTTTTTTCAGTGCTGTTGTAACTTCGAACACTAAACAAATTGTTGTAAATCGAGGACTATCTGTACTGAGGAGGAGGAGATTATTTCCACTCAGGATTCTATTTGCACACAGTTTTAAAAAATAGCTAGATTAGGCCTTTGACAATATTTGTATCCAGGCTAATTCTGTAACATCAGAAACGGAGATGGATGCAAGAATAAAATTAGGTGGCAGCATCCTGAGTGAATATGGAAGACTTTGGCTCAGGAATTCTGGGAGTTGAAATCCACAAGTCATAAAAGAGCCAAGGTTGCCTACCCCTGGCTTAGAGCAAGGGTCTTCAAACTTGGCCCTTTTATGACTTGTGGACTTCAACTCCCAGAATTCCTCAGCCAGCATGCCTGTCTGAGGAAGTCTGGGAGTTGAAGTCCACAAGTCATAAAAGGGCCAAGTTTGAAGACCCCTGGCTTAGAGGCTTTTTTTACTTCTGCAATCTGAAACTTTTGTTTTGCAACATCCCAGTTTCAGTTTTCTGGAATGTTTATATGTGCAAATAGATGTCAGTGTTCCAGTGTAGAAAATCCATTGCAGGTTTCCATATGACAGTGTTTCCCAAACTTGACAATTTTAAGGCATGTGGACTTCAACTCCCAGAATTCCACAGCCAGCGTTGCTGGCTGTGGAATTCTGGGAGTTGAAGTCCTCATGCCTTAAAATTGTCAAGTTTGGGAAATACTGCCATATGAGATTAGGAACAAAAACCAATTATGGTTAGTCACACAGTCAGACAGATGTTTAGACTGGATTTGCCATTTTTGTCCTCTTACTGAGTCTTCCCAAGGACCTGTTTGCTTAATAATATTAAAGGTATCATCGCAAACTATAAGCTATTCCATGTAAAACTGCTTTCTGTAGTTGACCATGGAGATTTTGTCAATATTGATGGTTTTCAACTGGTGCTCCAGATATTTTAAAATTGCATCCAAGTTTCCTATTGTTAGTACCAGCTTTGCTTTCTTTTGCCATAGTCATTCTACTTCTGTTTGCAGGTCTTTTTTTATTTTTTATTTTCTCAGTTTCTCCATGTATTGCGATGTCCAGTATCCAGACATTTTGTCTTATCAACAATTGTTAAGTCTGAATTATTGTATGGCAGTTATTATGGTTGGTTGTACAGTCAGCCAGATGCTTAGATTGGTTGTTATTATTACAGACTTTGAGCCTGGGATTATTAATGTGAATATTCTGGAAAAAAAATTGAATTGGAAAGAAAAATTGCTTAAGAGAAATAAATTTTTATTGCACAATTTTCTAATCAGCTATATATAAATTTCTCTCCCAATTGATATGCCCCTTTGGTGGAAGTACACAGTTTTATACTATTGCAACAATAAGTGTATTAGTGTCACAGATCTAACTGTCCACACCTTCAATAGACACTGTAGGTTTGAGAATCAAAGAAAGGAATAACCTTTAGCATATAATGGCAATCAGAGGCCATATTTCATACACTGGGTTCTTCCTGGCATTTGGACCATGATTTCCCATACAATTGATTTTCTGGCATTGGTTATGAAGAGGAGAACAGACATTTCCATTTCTGAGCACATTTTAGGATTATGTCTAAACTTAACTTTCATTCTCTAGTGAGCACAGCCATAATTTGTTGTTGGCCCTTTTTGCAATTTTGTGTTGGTACTTTGTAGTACCCATGTTCAATTGTTAGCATTCCCTTCTCTCAAATACGCACATATTCCACCTGACATGGAAATGAATTGCAGGACAGGTAACAGCAAAACTATTCCTGTAGTACCAGTAGTAGACCTGACTTTTTTGTTTTGTTCAGTTCTTTCTGGATGTGGGTGGCATAGCTGATTTTTCAAAACAAATGAGCTGAATGAAAGAGTTTGATTTTCCATCCTATTTTATGGTTGAGATCCAAGGAGGCCATTGTGTACTTGCAAATAATTGCAAAAAAAAAAAAAAAAAGGTTGGGAAAAACACAAAAGTCTTTTCCCACTTAATCAGCAATATAAAGGCAGCAGAATTGTATGTACCTAGATATCTTCAGGGCATCTCATGGATACTAAGTTCAGCTTTATTTGGTCAAAGGTAAGATATCTCCTTTTGTAGGGAGGAAATGCATAATATATGTCATGTGGCTAGATATTCATAGTATAAAACTTGGACATATTACTCATAAATAATGAGATAACCAAGAAACCTAGCTTCTGACCATAGAGCCAGATAGTAAATTTTCCCAACTTGTCCAACCTATAGAGATGTTGCTAAAATGAAGGGAAAATAGCTTTGTTGTTTTCTGAGAACTTATTTAAGTTACAGCCCTTGTGCCAACAAGCTTTTTTCTCTATTCATTCTGCGCAAACCAGAAACAGAAATCTAAGAAATATTTATAAATCTGTGCAAAAAAGCGTTATTTCACTTCTATACCAGCAGAGAGATTTGTCTCTTCTTGAGCCTATTGTAATGATTTTAACAATCTGTTTAGCAAATGCAAATCATACGCTCTTTTGAGGAATAATGACAACCAATACTATGTTAATGTAAATCCTTCTTGGACCAATTTCATTTGCTTGGAGGCAGTGGTAAATACAAGTTAGCTTTCCCAGTACCCAACCTATTGTAAAATTTCCTTCTGGAAAGATATCTCAAAATGTTTTGTTAGCCATAGTAAAGACAAGATCATTTTCTGGGCTATGGTTCTCAAGTTTTCTTCAAATGTAGGACACTTCTTATAATCAGTAATTCCTTATTTATTCAAAATGATATATGGATGTAAGAAAGCTATTGTGTTTCTCTTATTCTTTTTAAATCATAAAATAATGTAATGTTGTATAACAAAATATTAAACTATTGATATTAGAACCAGTTTAGTATGATGGTTAAGGCATCAAGTTAGAAACTGGAAGACTATGAATTGTACAGAAGTCCTGCTTTAGGTATAAAACCAGCTGAGCAAGCTTGGGACAGTCACTTTCTCTTTGCCCTAAGGAGGAGGCAATGGCAAACCATTCTGGAAAAAAAAAATCTTGCCAAGAAAACTGCAAGGATTAATCCAGACAGTCTCTGAGAATCATATACGATTGGATGGAAGGAAAAAAAAAACAATTAGCACTGTTAGACTGTAAATGAAATGTGGGTAGAATCCATGTGATTCACATGGGCTGCGTCAGTTGTTACACAGATACAGCGGAAGACTAAGGGATCTTGGCAGCTAGCATTTTCCTTTCCAAGTGGCTAGATGGATTAAAATTTTACATGCCCTACTTAGCTGCTGGACCTTGAAATGAAAAGTCATATGAATACTTGCATATTCCTCGATGCTTTCTTGTAAACAGAGAAGTTTAAAATGTGTTACAAGTAGTCCTCGGCTTACAACAGTTCATTTAGTGACCCTTCAAAGTTCCAGCGGCACTGAAAAAAGTGACTTATGACTAGTTTTCACACTTAACCTTTGTAGCATCCCAGTGGTCATGTGATCAAAATTCATATGCTTGGCAATTGACTCATACTTACAATGGTTGCAGTGTCCCAGGGTCATGGGGTTCCCTTTTGCGACTTGCTGACATGCAAAGTCAATGGGGAAGCCAGATTCACTTAACAACAGTGTAACTAATTTGACAACTACAATGGGATGAAAAGTCGTAAAATGGGGGCAATCTCACTTAACAAATGTTTCACTTACCAACAGAAATGTTGGGCTCAATTGTGATCGTAAGTCGAGGACTACCTGTATATAGGTTTAGATATTCTTCCATTTTCACCTTAGCTTGACTGGGTTTTGGCTCCTTTTCTCCTAGCATTAAACCAAATGATGAGAGTTGTGAATGGTTCCTAAGCTTGTATTGGCTTGCTTAATTGTGCACAGACACACACACACCCCACCCTCTCCAGAATCCCCTTTTTCTTTGGAGTGTGTTATTTTATATGACTGGCACAAAATGTGTTGTTTTTTTCTTTGGCTTTACATTTTTTAAAAAAATAGCTTGACTTGGTTTTAGGAGATCTTTTCCTGTGAATTACTCCTTTTGTAAAATTTTGCTTCTTTGTTTCCCCAGTCTGGGATTTGATTCCCCCTTCAAAAATACAGAATACATAGAATTAGAAGGGGACATCATGGTGGTCACCCATCTACCTTCTGCGCCTTCATTTTACATAATAATAATAATAATAATAATAATAATAATAATAATAATAATAATAATAATAATAGACAAATTTGCTATTAGTCAATTGCAAAAGGCAGCCTTATTAGGGACTGCTTCCATCCTGCGACAATATCTGTAATACCTTCAAACATCCACATCTGCCTATCCCAGGTCCTGGGTAAGGACTCGATAGGTAGACAAAATGCCAAATCCAGTCTGAACATCTGGCTGACTGTGCGATGACCCATAATAATATGATTTGTACTTTGATTTGTTCACTATTTCTTACCTCTTCTTCAGTTGAAAGGATTCTGATGCAGCTTATAGGTCAATTAAAAAAAAATTAAAAGGAACAAGTGGTTCTTGTTTTCATCTATGTAAAAAAAAGGTAAAAAGATGGAGGGGGAGGAAAACAACAGACTTCTGTTGTTATTAATTAACAAATTATTCTAGTCAGATTCCAAAGGACAAAACTGTGGAACTGAACAGTGAATAAAAAAAATCTTTTTTTTCTAGATAAACAGTGGGATCATTGCAATGTACCATCAGATAATGTGTTCTTTTACTGGAATAAATTGTGGAAATATGCATAAGTGCAGCGTGTTTGAATCTTACTACTGTATTATAATTGAGACAGTATCTCACACCTTATTGGCACCTCATTTTTGCTCCTGAAATAGTGTTTCTATTTTGTCTCACTGAAATAGAACAACCATACAAGAAAAGGAAAGTATCTATTGCAGAACGATTGGAATCTCTAATAAGCAAAGTGGGAGAAAAGGTACGGAAAGCTAGCATCTTCATATTTTTGTGGTTTCTTTGTGTGAGCATAATACAAATACTGAAATTTTGGATGGATGGATGAATAATGTTCTGTTTCAGCAGTCAATTCCACTCTACTTGATTTTTCAGTTTTCTAATTAATTGTAAGAAAACATTACAGTGATACCTCAATACTCAGTGTTAATTCGTTCCGGAAGGCACGATGAGTACCAAAAACGATGAGTACCAAACAAATTTTTCCCATAAGGAATAATGTAGTGAGTCACAAGGCAGCTGACACCGAAAAGTTCTAGCTTCTGTGTTGAGTACCAAACAAATGATGAATACCAGGACAATTTGATACTCAATACATCAAAATGTGTTGAGTACCAAATTCAATGAGTTTCAAAGCAGTTGAGTACCAAGGTACTGTTGTACATGGCTGCTGAATTGATCAGCTGTTCCTGTTGGACTGATTAGAGTTTTTCAGTATTTTTATATTAGAAACACCCAACCATATAGTTATTACTCTGTGGCCTTGTTGGACTGCAGTCCTGTCAATGCTCACTGTATCTGAATTTTTATTAATAATGCACTTAATCCATGTAAAATCTCAATGATTATACAGTTTTGCTTCAGTAGAGGAAAAAATAGTGACTTAAAATAGCCCGTGAAAAGGAAAAGAAACAGAATATGACAAGGAGCACTGTGCCAGAATTTACTAGTGAGAATAAGAAAATAAAAATAGTGCCTACTTGTTGACCAACCAAACACTAAATACTGTGTGTTTCTATTAGGCAAAAAATGAGACATAAGGTAATAATCAGCAAGGCAAATAGATTCCCAATCTGCTATTATATTTAGTGCAATTAAAGTTTTTAATTTATTGAAGTATTTATTGAAATTGCTGTGAGATTATTTTGCTGAAACACAATGAACTCATTCCTTAGGTGGATGACATTAAACTACAAGACCAAAATAAAAATGTGTAAATGAATTTACAGTTATGAAATTTTATTCTTATGTTTTTGCTACACAGAGGAATTGCTGCTGTTTTTGAAATATGTAAAAATAATGTATAAGGTCACAGTTGTATGAATATTAGCTATTCAATTCCATGGTACTGCAGCTATTATTTATCATCACTATTGATAAAATATGTGGTGATTATATTAATATCTTTACATTTCCTTGATAAAGGAATTTTATTTTAACGCACAGAGTTTCACAAGTTACACTTGTATGGCTTTTAACCATGAATAAGGGTAACTTGAGTTCATCAAAGTTTGCCAATCAGTTTATCAAGTACCAATTAAAAGGAATCTTTATTTCTCATCATTCAGAGCCAGCATCTCGGCAGGGTGGCCTTCAGAAATATTAAAGATGAGGCCATTTTGCATAAGAATAGAAGGGAGCTAATTTTTGGGGTGCCCAACCTCAGAGCACCTATTTTTCTTAACCATTGGAACTAGGAAAGACATGCACACATTTTATATTATATATTAAGCATGAGCAAATTTGTATTTATTCACTGGTCAAATGACATATTCACTAAAGGGCAATATGTCAAGTTGAAGAGACATGCTTCCTTTTCTATTACTCCCTCCTTGAAAGAATTTTTTTACAACTGGGGCAATAGCTTCTCAAGCTTAATGTGTGATGAGATGACCCACCAGGGGTCATGTAGACTCACATCTTAAGTTCAGAGCCCTTACAACAGTGGTTCTCAACCTGTGGGTCGGGACCCCATTTGGGGTCGAACGACCATTTCACGGGGGTCGCCAAACAAGGCTGTCCGCCATTTTTTTCCCCTTTTCTTTGGCCATGCCCCTGGCACCCGGTGATGTATAAGTGGTTGGGGGTCACCACAACATGGGAAACTGTATTATGGGGTCGCGGCATTAGAAAGGTTGAGAACCACTGCCTTACAAGATTAAATTTTAATGGGATTCTGCTTCATTTTTTTTTAAAAAAAGAAGCATCCCAAGAACTTGACACAATCATTTTTCTAAGAAAACCTTCATCTCCTTAAATGTGGGAGAAGAAGAATTCCAAAACTTTCTGGTGACATGACAGAATCACTGCCGTAGCCGCCGCAGTCCACGGAAGGAAAGAGAATCTTGATATAATACGCTTAACAATGATTTTTTAATATTTTATTCCCTTCAGAGTCCTTTCTCTTTGGAAAGTAGAATAGAAGGCTTGGCTGGAGTTTTGGAGGCAGATCTACCAAACTACAAAAGCAAAATACTGAAACTGCTTTGCACAGTGTATGTATGCAAAAGATTTATGGATTTAGGTGATAATACAGTACTTACAGTAAAGATGTTTAAATATCTACTTTTGAAAAAGGTCACCTTTCCAAAACATTTTATTGTATATATTGTATGCCTGCATATTTTATCCTGTTTAAAGCATTTTTGAAACTTGGATGCAGTATGGATAATTAGGAAGGAGAGCATAGAGGAGCAGCAGTGTCAAAATGATTCCCTAGTGCTGATCATTCGGGCTCAGTAACAGCAATACAATTGTCTTAATTGTCTTCTGCAGCAATACGTTGAGACGCAATTCGCAGTGCAAGCTTACTCTGGACTTTTCATAAGAGTTCAAAGAAAGGATTACATTTTTGTCTGACTTGTTGCTCATGACATCTTCTCCTTTCAACTAATGACCTCCTTTGCAAGGAACATATATTGCCTTCTCATTCTGAAACTGAGTTAAATTTGGGATTGGGGGACAACATCAAAACAATGGAGGATTATGCATATTACATATCGTTGAGTTTGATTTTCCAGTTGGAATTGCAGTATTAACATTGGATGAAAACTGAATTGACTCTAGCAGTATCTTAATTTTTAATGTGGTATACTGCTTCTTCTCAAAAGGTATGCATCTCAAATAGCTTGAATTAACTATAAATAGGAGTAATGAGATCACAGTTTTGATTAGAGTTATTGTTTGATACTACTTTCTCTCTCTTTTATGAAAAAAAAACTTCAGAGCACGTCTGTTACCACAGAAGATGACCATTTACACAACTCTTGTTGGCTTGCTGAATGCCAGAAACTACAATTTTGGTGGAGAGTTTGTAGAAGCGATGATACGTCAACTGAAAGAATGTTTGAAAGCCAACCTATACAATGAAGCTATCTATTTAGTAAGTTGTTTTCATACCTTAGAGTCTTTGCACATTACCTTCGACATATATCCACAACTGAGACTAGAATTTCATTCATCACATTCTTAAGTGAATCATTTGATGTGATGATTTATTAAGACATTAAAAGAATTAGGAGGTTAAACATATAAGGAATGGTTGCTGGAATTGGGTATGTCTAGTTTAATGAAGAGAAGGATTAGGGGGTGACATGATAGCAGTGTCCCAATATCTCAGGGACTGCCACAAAGAAGAGGGAGTCAAGTTATTCTCCAAAGCGTCTGAAGACAGGACAAGAAGCAACAGATGGAAATTAACCAAAAAGAGAAGCAATCTAGAACTAAGGAGAAATTTCCTGACAGTTAGAACAATTAATCAGTGGAACAACTTGCCTCCAGAAGTTGTGAATGCTCCAACACTGGGAGTTTTTAAAAACAGATTGGACAGCCATTTGTCTGAAATGGTATAGAGTTTCCTGCCTGAGCAGGAGGTTGGACTAGAAGACCTCAAAGGTCCCTTCCAACTCTATCATTCTTATTGTTATTGATTTTAACGATCATTTTTACCATAGCTATTAAGCAAATCACATGGTCATTAAGCAAATTGTGTGGTTAACTGAATCCAGATTTCCCAATTAATATTGCTTGTTGGAAAGAGGCTAGGGAGATTACAACTTGCAATCTCATGACTGCAAGGTATTGCAGCTGGTCGAAGATGTGAACTGATTGTCAAGTGCCCCAGTTGCAATCCTGTTGTCAGCGGGAGGATAAATGGCAAATCACTTTTTCCAAGGCCATCGTAACTTTAAAATATCATATGAGTCAAGGGCTGCCTATGTTTAGATTGATTTTCAATGAATTTGAAGAGCTCTCCATATGGGCTATGAAGGTAAAAAAAAATGTAATTTCATGTAATCATATAATACAGGGAGTCCTCGACTTACGACCACAATTGAGCCCAATTTTTTGTTGTTAAGTGAGACATTTGTGAGTTTTGCCCCATTTTACGACCTTTCTTGCCACAGTGGTTAAACGAATCATTGCAGTTGATAAGTTAGTAACCCGGTTGATAAGTGAATCTGGCTTCCCCATTGACTCTGCTTGTTGGAAGGTCACAAAAGGCCTTGGGACACAGCAACAGTCATAAATATGAACCAGTTGCCAAGCATCTGAATTTTGATCACGTGACCACAGGGATGCTGCAAAGGTTGTAAATTGCATTGTCAGTGCTGTTGTAACTTTGAACGGTCATTAAATGAACTGTTGTAAGTTGAGGACTACCTGTACACCCAACCAAAGCTTTCCATTGGCTTATTTCTTCTGACTTTGTCATAGCACTCTGTAATGTGAACGGTGCCAGTTTTTGCGATTTCCTGATCTAGACTTTTGTTATTTCGATAATAAACCAGGTTTACATATCTCTTCAGTTGTATCTTGGCCCTGGGATTCCACTTACCCCAGTAAAAGATGCTAAAGCAGATACAGGCTTCTGCAAGGTTCTTATTTGGCCTTATGAGAACTCTTGCTGATCCATGCTTTGGGGAAACACATGACTGAGAATTGACAAAATGTTCTCTTTCTCCAGGTGCGCTTTTTTTCTGATCTTGTGAATTGTCACGTAATAGCTGCACCCTCAATGGTAGCCATGTTTGAGAATTTCGTCAATGTGACGCAAGAGGAGGATGTACCTCAGGTAAACAATAATACTTTTGTTTCATAGGTAGAGAAACAAATTGCTAAAATTTGTTACTGTGATTATTTTACTTTTTTTGTAATGTGTCCCAAAGGTGCTTCCCCCCCCCAAAAGACAAGTGGACTTTGTTTTTCCTTGAAGACTCTTCGCTTTTCATCCAAGAAGCTTCTTCAGCCAGAACTGAAGAATCTTCAGCCTTGGGGGGGGGGGGGGAGAAACACCTTTGGGACAACCATGACTTGATGACTGAGAAACTCGATAGACATTTTTTGTAATGACAAGCCTCTCCTCAACTTGTATTGCAACAAAAGCCTTAACAGTAAGCTGTAACATTTGGCCATGTACCCTCCAGTCCATTGTCACAGGCTTCCATGGTCTTCAGGAGGAACGTAAATACAACAAAATAAAAATGGGAGATGGCCATGATTTAGACAGGCAAAAGGAGTCCTCACCATTGTATCCTATCGTAGTTCAAAAGATCTGCAGTTCAAAAGATCTGCAACGTAGCTCCTAAAACGTTTCTAAAATCTGGATTTGTAGAAGGCCTTTTAATCATACCTATTGGGTTGATGCCTGACAGATGTTTTCCAGGACCTGGCTAATGTCATTTACTCCAGAGAGTAAGTCTACATCTTAAATTCAATGAGAAGCAATAGGTGAAATACCTCCTTGAAAAAGCTTATGTAAATAATACAGCATCAGCATGACATAAGTAAAATTTGGGGGGGTTTGTCCTATATTTTTTTCATTGCTTTGTGTGCAGATTCAGCGCGTACTCTCCTGTGCACCTATGTGCAGGATGTTTTAAAATGATGAAAATCAACCATTCATGTTCAGAGACTTATAAGCATATGAACCTGATCCCTAGAAGCTTTGCACCTGAAGCATCATAACATTAGAGTTAGAGTTGTGGAATCATAAATACAGTAGTGGTTCCTGTAAATCTCAAATCTTTGAACTGATTTAGCTTTTATGGCAAAAAACAGAAGTATTTTCTGATTGTGTTTTGTCCATATTTTTATAACAGGTGCGATGTGACTGGTATGTGTATGCGTTTCTGTCATCCTTACCTTGGGTGGGGAAGGAGCTGTATGAGAAAAAGGATACTGAAATGGAGCAGATCTTGTCTACTGTTGAAAACTATCTGAAGTAAGAAAATGTTTCTTTGTGTCATTATGTCTTAATAGAGCATGAACACAGAACTTGTAGACTTCATAAATTTGCAGGGAATGCTATTTCTTGACTGTTAAATCTAGAGGTAATGTCTTCGGACTTTTAGGTGAAAACCAAGTTAGTTTTGTTCCTTTTTCAAACAAAAACACATTAAAAATCGTTCTGCATTCTTAGTATGGAGAAAGATGCTCAAGAAGAAGAATGATAAAATCCCCAAATTTGTGAAAAGCGTGCTCTCTGCAGAAAACATAATTGCTTTCCACTGATCTTGAAGTCAGGACTAGAACAAATGAGTGGGAATTCCTGGAAAACACTAAGCAGGTTTTGCTACTTAAAAAGGGATCTGAAGTGATCACTGGGCTGACGAGAATTTTTTGTAAGTCTTGGACTCTATGATTCTACAAGTGTCTTTCAACATGGTAGTCAAACCAACTCTCCTAAAAAACCCACATTAGTTAGGAATCCGGTCATTGAAAGTGCATACAGTTGACATACAACTGATCATTTAGCGACTGTTCAAGGTTATTACGGATCTCTCTGGGAGAACTTACAACCCACTTCCAAAGTTCTGATCCCCACTCCCCTGGTCACATGACTGCATGTTGGGCATTTATGTCCATTTGCAGTGTCACATACTCACATGACCATAGTTCTGGTGAAAACTGGCATTTACTTTTAATGTCTACCACAGAGGAGATCATACTATACTTTTCCCAATCCCTCCTGCCCATTGAGATGTACTATCTGGTTTGGATAAAGTGCTGTTACTTTCAGAATCTTTCTGAGTTAAAGTGCAAACCAATTATCAGTAGTCCTTAAAATGATTACGTTCTTTTATGGCAGACGGCGTCAGAAGAACCATGTGCCCATGCTACAAGTTTGGTCTGCTGATAAACCACATCCACAAGAAGAGGTGAATATGATTAGGGTTTTGAATGCCTGCCCTCACATTCATCTGAACAAACATTAGTGGAAATGCATAATTCCCATTTTGTCTGCATGAAGTTAACACTGTTCTAGTGAGAAAGTCTTCCCAATGTCCTTTCTTTATTCTGAATTTTCCCCTTGAAATGGTTCCTAGAAAATTGGGAAGGGTGATTTCCTATAGCACGGAAATCAGTCTTGCTTTGGGAACATCCTTGAATTCTGAAAATGTCTGACGGATGCTGTTTCCTTCCAGTACTTAGATTGCCTTTGGGCTCAGATTCAGAAAATGAAGAAGGACCACTGGCAAGAGAGGCACATTCCGAGGCCATACCTGGCGTTTGACAGCGTGCTTTGTGAAGCACTGCAGCACAACCTGCCTCCTTTTACGCCCCCACCCCACACGGCAGATTCCGTTTACCCGATGCCAAGAGTCACCTTCCGAATGTTTGACTACACTGATGATCCTGAAGTAAGTTAATGATGTGGGGCAACATCCTTGTGGTGTGTTGTCTGTTGGGAAATGAAATGTTTTCGTCTTTGGTGGGTTCCACATAATATGCCCCTTTGCCTTTTGACTGTTCGGTTTGGGTCATTTTTTGGTCTGAAACTAGTTGAGAATTTGCTTCAAATTCTTTAGCAGGGTTTAAATGGTTCAGTGTTTGTTTTGTCTTTCTAATAGCTCCCGTTATTCCATGTACCACTGCTTTTTGAGCTTCTCCATTTTGTTTCTCAGAGTAGGAAAAGGCTGCTTCTAAATGAAAATACTAAGTATCCTTGTGCTTATAGAAGTAGTTTCCAGCTCACTGACTTCTCTATCAAATAATTTTATTGCATTTTAAAAATCATACACATTAAAAACCACATATACTAACAATCAAAAGAAACGATAAAGAGTAAAAGAGAATAGGGATAGAAGTGTGAAAAGGTATATAGAAAAAAAGGTACATATATACAAAGAATGATTTCTGACTTCTAAGGATATAGAGAACACTTACTTTCAACTTTTAGTTTAAGACTGTAATAAAATGTCCATTTTACCCCCCAAAAGATAAAGAGAAATATAAAAAAATGTTTTCCCCTTTTTAAATTTTAACAACAATTTAAATGTCAAAATTTGATTTTTCTGCATCTCCTGCAAAGAGTCCACAAAGGGCTTCCATTACAGATGAATGTCTTCAATGATTTTTGTCTCAGGACGGTTATTAACTTAGCCATGGTTGCTAGTTCTGTCATCTTTATTAACCATTCCTCTATTGTGGGTACTGTAGGGTCTTTCCAATGCTGAGCCTATAAAAGTTGTGCTGCTATTATCATATAGAACAGGGGTCTCCAAGCTTGGCAACTGTAAGACTTGTGGACTTCAATTCCTAGAATTCCCCTACCCAGCCATGCTGAAGTTGAAGTTCAGAAGTCTTAAAGTTGCCAAGTTTGGAGATCCCTGATATAAAACAATATAACACTGTGTCATTTTTTTTTTACTTTTTATCCATATATCCCAACAAAAAAAGTTTCTGGTCTAAATTGTATATTAATTTTTTGAATTATATCATTAATTTCTCTTCAGTATTGTCTGACTCTAGCCTTTTACAAATCCACCAAAGGTGATAAAAGATTCCTGTTTGAGTCTTTCCAAAACTATTTGGGTAACTTTTATACATTTTAGACAATTTATCTGGGTATAAATACCATCTATACATCATTTTATAGAAATTCTCCTTGAGGTTAGAGCATAAGGTAAATTTCAATTCTTGTATCCACATATTTCCCAAACTGATCAATTTGTATGTTTTATTGAAAATTGTTCACCCAGCTTATCATACAATTTTAACTACTTCATCTTCTGTTTCCGATTTTAACATTTTAGCAATAAGATATTCATCTTTTGTACATGGCTCCATTTCAGACAGTTTTATCATGTTCAAAATGTTATTATTCACTTGTGTCTGACCCCCTCCTTTCTCCTCTCCTCCCCTCCCCTCCCCTCCTCTCCTCTCCTCAAAAATCAGAGTGGGGCAGCGGAACTTTCTATATGCTGAAAAGTACATTATAAAGATTACATCCCCACAAACTATTTTATTAAAACTGTAGGGAAGATGTTATAATGCCAGTTTGTGACCACACATCATGCCTTTTGCGATGAAGATGGATTTTTGGGCTGTGCCAATAAATTAACCTCTGTTGTTTTCTTTTGTCAGGGACCAGTTATGCCTGGGAGCCACTCTGTTGAAAGATTTGTGATTGAAGAAAACCTCCACTGCATCATCAGATCATTTTGGAAAGAGAGAAAGACATGGTAGGCCTCTTTGCTTCCTTGTGTAAATAATTGTCAACAATTTCAATCAGATTGGATACAGTGGCAAAAAATTTATTATAATTCAAAATATTTTGCAATATCCTAAAAGTATTTTCGCACAAATCAGTTACAGTTTTATCCAAGCAAAATTGCTGATAGGAAGTCTACATTCATAACTGGCTGTGTTGCACTGTTGTCAGGAACAGAGGGAGGGAGGGAGGGAGGGAGGGAGGGAGGGAGGGAGGGAGGGAGGGAGGGAGAGATGGAAATTAAATGGATCCAGATGAACTGCCATTAGCCATTACATATAAAATTTAAGTATTAGTGGAGAACAGCCTAGAAAAGTGATATTGATCTGTTTTCCCTACATTGAGAAGTGTTCTTTAAAACTTTGTGTGTTAAATTAATGCTTTAAAATGCAGATTTACATCATGTTTGTTAACTGTGAATATTGATTTTGAAGGAGCTTCCCTGGTTATTAATGGCATCTGGAGCTGTCATATCTATTTCTATATCAGTCTGTTCAAAGAGGAACTGACACTGCATGGTGGCAGAACCTTTGGCAACTGTTTCTAAGACTTGCTTCCTGCAGGGAAAGAGGTTTTTTTGAAGGAGTGGGTCCCGGCACATATCACTAAAAAGTAGTTTTTTTTGCAAGGGGTTTGTCTACCTACTTCCTGCTTGCCTTTTTTATTCTGAAATATACACCTATCTTTTTCTGTAGTGCTTCCCAATTAACAAGCTATCCAGGAAACAACAAGATCCCTCTGAATTACCACATTGTTGAGGTAAACACTGTATTTATCATGTCGCTTTTTCTTATTTAGTGCCAATGATCTTCCTCTCTGCAAATAGTTCCTCATCTCCCAATGGAGCTTGAAATGACCTATTTTGAGTTCAAACCATTTCTGGTACACCTAGAAAGTCCATTGTGGGATTGGAATGGGGCATTTTAACACTGGAACTTTCTGACAATGAAATATCCTGTACACCTCTGCTTTTGCGAATATGCTTCATTATATTCCTTTCATGTTTTCCCCAGGTCATTTTTGCTGAGTTGTTTCAGCTTCCTATTCCGCCTCACACAGAAATCATGTACACTACGCTGTTTATTGAACTCTGTAAACTTCAGCCTGGATCTTTACCTCAAGTTGTATCCTTTCTCCCAAAGGTTTCTTGTAGCAGTTAATACCTTTTGATAATAAAAGGAATGCTCTGTTTCAACCATATTGAATTAAACATTATATAAAAAAACAATTTAAACCTTAATTGAAAAACAACAGCTTGCACAAGCTACAGAAATGCTGTACATGCGCTTAGATACCATGAATACCATCTGCATAGATCGGTGAGTGAGGACATTCTCATCTAAATTTTCTGAGGACTTAGTGACATGGGCTTATTTAGCGCAACAAAATCTAGTTATAAATGCTCCTGTTTTACAGACCTTCTCTCATTTAATTAGTACTGGAATAAATTGTTTCTTCTATTAGCTGCTTCTGGAACTTTCTTATATAGCATTCGTAGTCAACTAGTTAGAGCTCACTGCAAAGTTAGATTGCTAATAAAAAAATAAGACATATTAAAATCTAGAAGAGAGCTACCCAATTATTATTGGATGTAAGGCTATGAATTCTTTGAAAATGATTCAAAATAGGTACTTTAGAATATGCAAGGTCTGAAGCTCTATCAAGGCATTTGCAAAGCATGCAGATGCCTCTGAGATAACTCTTCAAAAGATTCTGTTACTATAAATATATTGGACATTTTTTGTCTTTTGGTTTTTAAGAATTTGCGTCTCCTCAGACTTGACCACCAGTTACTTTATATATTTGGATGTAATGTCAATAATAGCATTGCAAAATAAAAAGGGTTTGATACAAAAGTCTGAGGAGAACTTTTTTTTCTCCCACCAAGGTTTATGAATTGGTTTTCCCACCATCTTAGTAATTTTGAGTTCCGTTGGAGCTGGGAAGATTGGTAAGTGTTTGATTCCATATATGCATGTATGATGAACATGAGTGTAAATATATGTTTGTGCATATTCTCATTTCTGACAGCTATCTATTTTGTTTGGGTTATGTATGTTAGGAATGTGCTGTGCCTGAGGTTCCAATACAAAATTGTGTTTTTAAGTATTCTGCAGTGTTTATGTAGCAGCACTTTGTAAGTCTCTAAAGCACTTTTAGTAGCCATCCTGGATGGCACAATTGCTGATTTTCTCCCTTGTGATAATGAGTGCTACATCACAATTCACACGAAAACCTCATTAATTCCTGGATGAAAGAGTCAACCTGGCTTGTATTATTGAAAAATAGGTGGTTATGCTGGATGGTACAGACGTGCAGCATGAAGCCAGGCTCTGGAGTTGAGCCTTCCTTTGATCCATAGGGATACCATGTCACTCCTCAGAAAACGTGTCTGACCTCAGGAAGCTATGAGGTTTTTTTTCCTGAGCGCTATTTAGTAAGATAGATCACATCTTGCTATCTAATCCTGCTGCCCAGTTTTCTCTTTGAACTGCCAAAAATGTTCTCAGGTATGGGATTGGAAAAGCCCAGAGGTCCTCCACCACTTTCAACTAGTCATAGATGTTCATAATCTAGGAATGTCATGTTTAAATTACCCTGATGCGCTCTATGTGGTCCGACCCTTGCACTCAATCTGGCTGCTGCCATTGATCTAAATGCACCAGATTGCTGTATGTGGCATCTGATCATACACATTCTAGTCCTTTGCTGAAGCTACACTGCTGCCATTTAGCTTCTGTGACAGGCTTTGGTGATGACCTCCAAGGCTTTTAGTAATTTGAGACCAGAATACCTGTACAATTGCCTCCACTGTCAGAACAAAGCAAATCTTTATTATAGAGATACACCAGGATAAGAAGGGCGGAATATGAACAATAATTTCAAAAGCTAAAAATTGTAAAATACACAAAGTTAATAAACATTTTAAATATGTAGACTCAACACACACACACATATACACATCTAAAAAACCCTATAAAAAGGAATAAAAACATTAAGTAAGTAAAAAAATGTACAATCCCCACTGTTGTAGAATGAGACAAGTCATTGGGATCATCAGGGACATCCTACTACATCAGTGTTTCCCAAACTTGACCATTTTAAGGCATGTGGACTTCAACTCCCAGAATTCCACAGCCAGCAACGCTGGCTGTGGAATTCTGGGAGTTGAAGTCCACATGCCTTAAAATGGTCAAGTTTGGGAAACACTGTACTACATCTACTGAGGCTGCATAATGCCATCTGGCAGTATGGAGCCCTTCAGTGTATTTCTGTCCATGCTCCAGAGTGCCGTATTTTAGGATGAGTTTGAAATTCAGTTTTTTACCCAGGCCTGATCTGTATAAAGGCTGAAAAAGTATTTTCTTTCTCTCCCCTGACTTTTTAAATGATGGTTCGATTTAGTGAGATTTTACAATATTTCATTATATTATTTTTACACATTTTATTACAGTTTGTATTGTAAACTGCTGTGGGATATTTTGGCACAGGGTGAACAAACATAGATGGATAAGATGGTTGGATGAATTGATGGATGCGTAGAAAAGTAGATAGGGTGGCAGATAGGAAGACTGTCACCCCAACGGGTGGAAAAGCCTACAGAATAGTTTCATTACAAAGCTGATACATTTTCTGACCTTTTAAATAATTGAAGATAGTTTTTTAAGTCGTAACTGTGGATTATAAGTAAAACTCCAGTTCTGCATATCCTTAGTATCCTAGAAATTGTGATGCTATAAAAATGTAGGAAACTTATCTTATGAACATGAAAGTATCTAGTTGCCATAGAGTCTTTCCTTTTCTGAATGCCATCTTTTTCTATATGTAGGTCAGATTCTGTTTCTGAGGTTCTTGACAGACCCAAGCCTAAGTTTGTAAGAGAAGTACTGGAAAAATGCATGAGGTGAGTGACAGATAGCAGCATTTGTATACGTTATCCACCATGCTATTTCTATCAGTATAAGCAGTGTTAGGCAAGTACTGAAAAAGAGTAAAATAGAAAAAGCAAAAGAAATTAAAGACATGGAGGAATAAAAAGAAGAGGAAAGCTTCCTGAATGCACTATACCACTATACCACTATATCATTTTTGTTCTACTGTATCAGCTTGGATCATCTCACCCAATTGCAATTACTCAGTCTTCCTGTTCCTGTTGTCACATTAACTTTTCTTGCTGTTCAGACCTCATTTATTATTTCTCTTTGTCCAAACCCCCTCCTTACATTTATTTTGCAATCAGTAGGTTTATTCTGTCTTGAAGTCTGTCTGCATTCCTTCAGCATAGAGCTATTTGTGACTCTATTCTTGCTTTGCCACATGCACACTTCTTAAACAACCATCTCCACTGCATTATTATCTTCATTACCTTGATTTCCATTCTTTATCCCATCCTGTCATCCACTCTTCCCATCCACTGATCCTGCATTCTAAGACATATTGTCTATTTCACATGCATGTTTGCATCTCCCTGTTGAATTCTTACTTCCAAATTCCGAGGAATGTTTGGCAGAGTGAAAATAGAGAGAGACATCTTTCTTTGACCAGCCTTTACAATAGAATAGTACAGTAAAAGGAGAAATAGTTTAATATATCAATTACTTATTGGTGAAGGCAAATAATAATAAGACAATAAACCAGCATATCTAATAAAAAAATTTGCACCGTTATATAACTTGGTGAAAATATCTGGTCACCTGATATGTGAGAGGAGCCCTGATGGCACAGAGATTAAAATGCAGTATGGCGGCTCACTCTGCCCATAACCTGTTGTTGAATCCTGATGGGGCTCAAGGTTGATTCGGCCTGCCATCCTTCCGAGATTTGTAAAACGAGCCAGATTGTTGGGGACAATATGATGACATTGTAAACGGCCCAGAGAGTGCTGTAAAACACTGTGGTGGGGCAGTATACAAGTTTAATTGCTATTGCTATTGTAGGGTTGGTATCCCTTAAAATATAATGAACATAAAATTTATCTGTATGGCCTTCATATTTGGAAGTGATTGGGACAATCAGAGCACGTCTTGGAGCATCAAAAAAAGGGCCCCATATGAGGACATGGGCAAGAGTTTCTACCTTCCTGGATCCATAAGGGCAAAGTGAGCAATCCCATTAAATTATATCTTGAGTAGAGCTGACAGGAGGGCATCAAACTAGACTCTAGAAAAGGCCCATCTATATTTGCTTAGTGTTAAATTGTATAAGTCAGAGGTCTCCAACCTTTCCGGGCTCATGGCCCGGAGGGAAGGAGAGCAGCTTCCAAATTGGTGCGCACCCACGCAAATTGGGCCACATGCACTGGTGCAGCACTAGTGAGCCCGTTCGTGCATGCGCAAAAGGGCCACACAACCCACGTGGTTCTAGCGGCCATCTTCATGCATGCACAAACGGGCCATGCACACCCACCCGGGGCTAGTGGCCCTGTTCGTGCCCATGTGCATGGAAGCTTATCATTTCCCTATTTCTGACAAATTATAGTTCAGGTACTGTCCTAGTTCTTGAAAAACTTTTTCTGTGCATTCAGGATCAGGGTGTAGCTATCAGCTTTGGGGTGTTTTACCAGTGCATGTATGTATGCCAAGTAATGAATGATTGGTTGGGTTACATATGTAGTATAACCATAATGTGACATAATTGTGGCAAAAAAAAATATCTTTGTTTTTTCAGGCTTTCCTACCATCAGCGAATAATAGATATCGTTCCTGCTAGTTTTTCAGTCCTTACTCCGGCAAATCCAGCATGTATTTATAAATATGGAGATGAAAGTAACAGTATGTAGAAGATGATATTTATATAATTTACACTTTACAAAAAAAACCCTTGGACTGTGACAAGGAGTATTTGTTACCGTTGGAGAGAAATGGTATTTTGTCTTATTAAAACAGGTGGGGGATGGGGGAGGCAATAAGAAACTCCATCTAAAGAAAGCTGCTGTAGCTATGGGCAGGTATGAGATGGTGCCACCCAAGGACCATCCAAAACCTAGTGGTCATGATGACACAAGGGGACATTACTTAAAGATGTGGCTTCTCTTCTGAAACGCTCCTCAAGACATGTAAAACCCTCTAATATTTTTTATTCAATCTTATATGTCTGATCTGATGATTTCTCTGAGATGGTTGATTTCCAAGCAAATTTAATGCGCTTTTAAAATGTAAACTTGTAAAAGCTTGCGTGTAAAAAATGTTTCAAAAATGCCCAGTTTTCAAAGCTGGAAACTTTGCTTCTTCTATCTTTGGACGTAGAATCTCTTCCTGGATACAACGTTGCACTCTGTGTAAGCATTGCCATTAAAAACAAAGCAAGTAATGATGAAATCTTCGCCATTCTGAAGGATGTGCCCAATCTTAATCAGGATGATGATGATGGTAAGTCCTTCTGATATTTACCGTGTTCCATTGCTAATTTCCATTTATGAAACATTGCAAAACCTCAGGGAAGTTAGTTAAGGTTTTAGTTAAATTTAGGATATGGCTCCAGTTCTTATTTTCATACAGCAATTTGTACTAGCTCAGTAGAATTGTATTTACCTGGGACTGTTGATATCCAGCACCACTCCATACATACAAGCAAGCAAATGTGCCTTTACATTTATGGTATTTTAAACAGAATGACACTATAGAACAGTGATGGCGAACCTTTTAGAGACCTAGTGCCCAAACTGCAACCCAAAACCCAATTATGCATCGTCGGGTGCTGGGTGGGTGTGGTCCACTGGCTGGGTGTGGCCCATTGGCTGGGCGTGGCTGCGGTAGTAATGGCAGACTGGGTGGGACTAAAAAGTTCAATCAATCAATTCCAACTTTGCAAGATCTTTTTTTTTTGCACAAGAAGTTGAAATTGACTGATTGATTGAACCCTTTTTTTTGTACATGGCGGCGGAGGCCTAAAGCAAAAAGGTTTTATAAACCCAGTTGAAGGCCTAGGACTGGGGCGATGGCGCGGGTGCCCACAGAGAGGGCTTTAAGTGCTGCCTCTGGCACCCGTGCTATAGAATCAGAATGGGAAAAGGGAAATAGGAGGAAGAAAATTGCCACATTTTGGATAAAATAGAAGGTTGAGACTAGGAATTGTGGGAAAGACCATGATTTTTCAGACACTAGCTGCTATATACTAAGAATTGGCTTCATCCATGAGTTCCAATTCAGTTTTATCATATATCTTAGTATATGTCTGAAATTCACACATTGATATATGTAATTTGTATGAATATAATTGTAAGAAAAGCCTATTATGAAATTTCGTGTGCAGTTTATTTTTTTAAATAGAAAAGTAAAAATTCTCAGTCCCACTCAGCCTTTAGTGAATGCTTATCTTGCTTACAGGGATTCAAATGTATTTGTAACTTTGTTTTCCAGATGAAGGCTTCTCATTCAATCCTTTAAAAATAGAAGTTTTTGTCCAGGCACTATTGCACTTAGCGTCAAAGTCATTCAGTCACTCCTTCAGTGCTCTGGGAAAGTAAGTATTTATCATTAAGTATATTAAACTGTCACTGCGTTCATATTGTTGCCATTTTATTTTTATTTGTGTTGTAACTGTGAAAAAGAGGATAGAAGCAAGTGTGTTGTGTTCTTTATTTTTTATTGTGTTTTAAAAATAGTTATATTATTTACTTTTCTTTAATCTACTATTTAAAATGGATTGATTCCTGTATAGTCTCTGATTCCTGAGATCTTTATCTCCACCTGTCTGGTTGGAGTTTTGCATTCAGCCGCTTTCTCCCACACTGCAGCATAGACAAAAAATTCATCAGTCCTTTCTTACCTGGACAGCAGAACGTTGTCTCTGTATGTATTTAAGCCCAAGATACAGGCTAATAAGAATGGCCAAAGAAGGTCTTCAGGAGGAGGGAAGTAAAAAAAAATTGCTTGTCCAGAAGAACCCTTTCTGCATTAGATTGTCAGGTGGTGGATAGAGCTTGGGCATAGGCAAAATTAAAAGCAACCTCTCCGAAGAAAAATCTGATGACTGGTCCAGTTACACAATAAGCGAATGTCAGCCCCATAATGTAAACCGAGCCAAGAAATCAACTCAATCAGAAGACTAAGCTACTTTTTTTAAAGGTTGGCTAAAATAACAGGATCTTGGAAGTCTGGCTCTACTTTATGCTCTCTGCTTCTTATCGTCCTGTGACTAAGGGAGGTGTCTGTCTGAGACATTTTCACATATTGTAATCAACTGCGAGAATAATCTTGAGGGAGAGCCAATGGTCAGATAAGAGAAATCTGAGCCCCAGAATGGAGCATCTCAGACTTGACCCTCCCTGGTTCTCTTTAGGAAATGTCAGGGAGGTAAGATTCTATTACTATAACTCTATAACGAAAGTGGAGTTAGCATTTATTTCCTTGGCATTCAAGTCTCGTCTACCTCAAAGGGTTGGCACGTGACTTCCGCTATGGCTTGGATTTAAGGCAGGGTTTTCTCTCATTGCTTTGGCAAGAAATGTCTCTTACCTCTGTCTCACATACAGGGTAGGGTGGGGTTGGGTGTTTAATGTTGGCACTGATTTTGGGGAAGAGATGAGTTCTATAATTCGCTTGCTGAATATTCATAGGGTACTGTCATGTGTAGCTTGCCAAGATAGCAGGAAGAACTGCTGTGTTACAGAGCTCTTTGTCAACACGGCAACACTGCTAGTCTCTCAAACTAGAAATCCAGACTTCAGAATCAACTTGGGAGACTAGACCAGCCCATTTTTCTTTCCTCTCCCCTCCCAATAAGTTTTGCCAAGGGTCCGTAAGAATTGATCTGTAAGAATTAAGACATGTCCTATTCCTTAACATCCTTGGAATGTGTTATTTCTGTTTTTATAAGATTTCGAGAAGTCCTCAGAACTTTGGCTGAAAGTGACGAAGGGAAGCTTCACATTCTCAGAGTGATGTATGAAGTATGGAAGAATCATTCTCAGGTAAGAATGAACATTTACATAGTCCCTCCTTCCTTCCCTCCCTCCCTCCCTCCCTCCCTCCCTCCCTTTTCCTCCCTCCCTCTCTCCTTCCTTCCCTACCTCCCTTGGGAGTTATGATAAGAGGCTCTGCTAAGATAAATAACTGTGGCCTGGACAGCTTAGGCAGTCCTCCCTCTTAAGAGAGGCAGTGCTTTGAGAGATCCTGTTTAGTTTCAGTCTGTGACTTTGTATTGAAAGTTGTGTCCAGATGGCAGTACACAGTACTGATGAACTGAGCAAAGTTTCTGCATTTGCACAGATGATTGCTGTACTGGTGGATAAGATGATTCGTACACAGATTGTGGATTGCGCTGCAGTGGCAAATTGGATTTTTTCTCCAGAGCTATCTCATGATTTTACAAGGTAAATAAATGTAAACCAAATATTTTTTTAAAAAAAATCTTCAGGTTATGCTTCAAATATCTCTCATAGAAGTATAAGTGATCTTAATAAGGGAAATTTTGCTTAAGTTAAAAATATTTCCTGAAGGTAAGCAACCTTTTGTATATCTTATTGAAAATTTGCATGCTTTTTTTTTACAGAGAATTCTGATACTGAAATTTCTCCTCAGAAGGAGGAGATGGAGATGAAAATTGCACAATTGTCCTTGTGTTTTCCTCCATTTCACTCATTATCTGAGAAAAGCTTAGATTTACAAGTCTGTATCAGCCTTTTTACTGCCAAAAATCAGAGTGCTCTTTGCTTTTTTTATTGCTAGATTTTATATTTGGGAGATCTTGCATTCTACCATTCGTAAGATGAACAAGCATGTGATGATGATTCAAAAGGAGCTAGAAGAAGCCAAAGAAAAATTAGCCAAGCAACAGAAAAGAGTAGGTGACTTTTTTCCATGACTGTATGAAGAAATAAGACTGAAAATACATTTCATCAGCTACAAGAACATAAGATTTGCTTTGTTTTGCTGAGCTAGGCAGAGATGGGCAGCAGGATGGAAAGATGGTGATGGTCACCATCTTTGGATACTTTTTATTGTTGGATAACTTTAACTTTTGAATCCCCATGATGTGGGCAAGTTGCTTGATAACATGTGATCAACTCCCCTATATAGTTGAGTATGAATGATTTATATCATCAATTCCTATCTCATAGACTTGCAACATTTTTAAACAATAATAAACATAATCTAAAACAATAGCTGAGGCACCAAACCAATTTAGATAAATAAATGACTTTATTTGCCAGTTCAGTGTACAGCAGAAAACTGTGCTGTGTGCTTTCAAGCTATTTTTTTTGACTATACATGCAACAGTGCCTTTTGTTTTGTTTTCTGTCTTGATTATTTTTAAAACATCTTAAAAATCAGTTAAATTTCAACTCTTTCCCTCCAGCGTGATGATTCTCGAAGGAATGAGAGAGAAAGTTGGCCCCTTGAAGAACAGATCGAACGCTTGCAAGAAAAAGTTGAATCAGCTCAAAGTGAACAAAAAAACCTCTTCCTTGTAATATTCCAGGTAAAAGCAGATATACTGATGGGCCAATGAAAAGGGCAATCTTACACTTATTAGTTAGCAGATGGCATTGGTACATGAAAGTCAGACATCTACAGTATTAATATAGAGTAGTAATTTGGCTGCCTAAGATTGCTAGCTTATTCAATTCAGGCTTGCTTGCTATCTGGGATACACCACGGGGGTGAACTAGTTCCGCAAACAGACTAACTAACGGTGTTCTGCCGGAGTGTCAGTGTTATCTGGGCCTTTTTCTCTGCTGGTTTTCACTTTGCATTTGGGCTGAGCCAGTGTCAGTTGGTTTCTTGCTTCTTCTGCTAGTCCCACCAGAGTGGTATCTGTTTATCCACTTGCAATTTGTATCCTTTTGAACTGCTAGGTTGGCAGGAGCTGAGGCAAGTGATGGGAGCTCACTCCATTATGCGGTGCTAGGGCTTGAACTTTTAGAATGTGAAGAGTCAACCTTCTCCGGCTGACAAATCCACTGTCTTTAAGCCACTGAGCCACCACTCCCCTTGCAATCTTAGAATCTTAATGCGATTGCAAAACTCTGAAACAAGCGTTTAAGCTTCATAAATTCCCAAATTAAAATTCTGTGCATTTGACAACAAGTTCTGGAAATAGCTAACGGTACCACAGTTATATCCTACTTAATTCAGAGATGCTGTTTTTCATGTGTCTTTTAACCCCTGCTCAAAAAAATAGTTATCTCGTCTACAGATCTAACACCAACTATTTCACTGTTTTTTCCTTCCAGCGTTTTATTATGATCCTAACTGAACATCTAGTACGATGTGAAACAGGAGGGATTGATGTAATTACACCTTGGTACAGGAACTGTATAGAGAGGCTGCAGCAAATTTTCTTACAGGTAAGTCTTATAGATGTCAGAATTCATGCGGTTATTGAAAGTGAGATTATCCTGATACAGCCTATCTCAGTTTGCACCATATTCAGATACTGAAGAGAAGCCAATGAACCTTTCTGAGATCTATCAAATATTTTTCAGAGGGTAATTATGTGTCCATCTGGGTTTGCATAATTGGCATGTTGTGCTAATTAAGTCACAGCACTTCCTAGATTGATACTGGGTACTTTTCCTTTCTTAAAACTTCAGTGATCTAAGTAGCCTTGATTTCTGCCATCAAATTTGGGGCACAGATGTGACCACTGTTGTCTCTAAAGCCTTTAATTATCAGGACTGCCGTTTATTAAATATGCCTCCCAATGTCTTTCATTGAAGATTCTAAGTAACTAACTAAATAATAAGAACAAGATTCAAACCCTCTTATCTAAAATTAGATACACGGTCAATAGAGAGTGGTGGTGGCATAATTATGGAAAGCCCTCTCAAAAAAGCTTGTCTGGGATCAAAATTGAAACAATGATTTATTTGTAAGGTTTGTAACTGGAGACAAGCTGCTGGAATTAAAAAATTATCATTTCTTATCATTTCTATTTATTTTATACAGTACTTTTATTGATTGATTGGTTTTATTGTCCAGTGCTCTAGAAATTGCACAATAATATGTATAAAGAAGATAATATTTTACAATCACTATTTAACCTTTCATATCTATATAAAACAGTTGGCATGATGAAAATCTCCTGCTCCTAATTTCATAATTAAGATTGTCCACCTCCTAAGAGTTCAAATCCTGGTTCTGTTTTTCGTTTTGTTGGCAAGAGTTGCACATAGTGCATAGTGTAGTTGTAGCTATCATAGATATCAAAGACATGGAAAATATAAATAAGAGATTATACTTTTTAGATAGATACGTTTTTTATTTAAGGCGCTAAGTCATTTCCAAACTTAACCGAAATGCTTTTTTTGTGTCTTAGCATCATCAGATCATCCAACAGTACATGGTGACCTTGGAGAACCTTCTATTTACAGCAGAATTGGATCATCACATACTGGCTATATTTCAGCAGTTTTGTGCACTCCAGGGCTGAGTAACTTTTTTTTTTTTGTATAGGACTTAATTTCATCTTGTTAAGTTTAAGATGGATTCTTTGATAAGAAAGGAAAAAAATCTTTTAATCTGAAAATACATTAAGTGTGCTGTCCTAGATAAACTACGCAGTGCTTGAATGGGATGAGTTGGGGCAGCAGGGACCTTATGCTAGTTATGATTGCCAGGTGATTGGGATGGAATAATGCGTGGATTTCTAATTTTGAAATGGTTTGAATGTTGACTCTGCCATAGCATCTGCTTTGTTCCCTCCTATTGTTTGTATAAAAAATAAAAAAATAGATAATAAACATAATTGGCTCTTTGCTTGCTTTTTGTATATGGGCTAATTCTATGATAATGTAAAACAAGTGTCAATATATATGAATTCAGATTGTCTTTCCCTAATATTCAATATTCTATAAAAATGAACCTAAAGTATACAAATACTTAATCGATCAGATTTATAAAGCAGCCTAGACTTACATTGACCAAGGGGGGCATACAACATATCACTCTTTTTGTCTTCTACCTGGAAATGAACATATAATTACTAAAGATAGTGATTTGTATTGTTCATTGCAAATTTAATGGAATTAAGCAATTAAGGTTATCAAAAACTACTCAGGCAAACAGAAGTAGAAGTAGAGAAGGGGTTTCCTAATATAAAGAGGTTGGTGGTTCCAGCTAAATCTATCAATCTGTAGATCACTTTGTGAGAAAAGCAGTTTTGACTACAAGGTGCTTCACAGAGCCATTACATTTCATGTAATTTAGTGAATGCCTCATTGCTGTTTGCAGTGAGCAGGCAATAGGAAAGCTGGACCAAACTGCACCCATGCAAACTCTCTGTGCAAGCAGATCTTGTGGAGCACCATGGTTTACTGAACCCATGGTTTACTGAGTGGCTCTAAAAAATGAATAGACATGGGATGTCTAGAGTGCTGCTTGGGGAAGACAAGTCAACCAAGCGCTTATAAGAGCCTTTGTTAGAATATATTTTTTGTTGATAAGAAGGGAAACATCTGCAAATGTTTCATCAAGCTAGGTAATATAATACAAATGTTCCCTGCCAAATACTTGTACCTCTAAAGAGAATTGAACCAAAAGACTTCTAGCACCATAATAGGTTAAAATTGTATACTGATCTGCACCAGGACCTGGTTTCTGGAGATTTGGTGATTCTGGATTCTGCTGCTTAATGCCAAGTTGGCCTATAATAAAGCTCACCTCATCCACATTCTAATTGTGGATACAAGAGCCTTCATTAGGATGCACCTTGTTTTGATAAGGGCAGCAAAGCATACTTACTTATCTCCATTAGGAGATAGCCACCTAATGGATCTATTTCACTTTATCAGATCCCTCTTGGGTAAGGAGGAATTGGCTCTTGCAGGGCCACTGTGAGGAATATTCTCAGCGTTTGTCAAAGTTGCTCAGCTTCTCTGGACTCTGGCTGGGCAAATCTTTGCAAGTGACCAAGACACATTTGAATCCTATCATCTGGAAGGAATTTCAGATGATTGATCCTGAGGAAGTAGATAGAGTCCTTGTGGCTGTGGATTCTCGGCCACCTGCATTCTGGATCTTCCTTGAAGCATGTAGTGGTACATCTGCTTCTCAAGAGGCCATCAGCCCTCCCAGTAGCATCCTCCATGGCAGGCACATGGCTCCAGCTGAAATTTTGAAGCTTTTCAGGTCTGTGGCTCTATTGATGCAACATTATATCCTATAATATATATGTACACGACATTCAAAATTGGAAGGTGTTTTTCTAATCTACAAGCAACTGTAGATACATATGAAAAACTTTTAAGTGTGTGTGCAGTACGATTGTGTGTGTGTGCAATAGATACGATTGTGTATTAAATAATTTTATTATTCAATAAATGGTTTATAAAAGGATTCATTTCTAATTGATTTTAATGTAGTGTTTTACTTCCGGATGCTGCCAAAAAAGAATTCACGGAGAATGAGATGAGCTTCATTTATCACCAAAATATTTTAAACTTGCCACTGTTCAGCAATGCATAATCCTGTATCATAATCATGCCGACATCGTTTATGTATTTTCAATTACAAAGGAGGTATTTTAACATTTATATTCTACCCGTCTTCCAAATCAGGCACAGGCTTTAGTTATGTCCCCATAAGGAATTTCAGAGCGATGCATCGCGGATTGACGCTGGATTTGTGCCCGTTTGTACAGCTATCCCCTCGTTCTTTCTTTAAAACATCAGGAACCTACATTACCTGAGGAGTTTTGTTCTCCCCTCCCCGCCCCAAAAGCACAGCAACAAAGATGCACGAAACCTCCCTACTGATAGACCGTCCCTCAGCCTCGACCTGCCCCGGAAAAGCTCCATTCGCATCCTGTCCCACCCCAAAGCTCCTCTCTGGTTACCACCACTAGAGCCCACCGGAAGGACCAGCCGCCGGGCCGGAAGGTAGGAGGAGCCGAGAGAAAGCAGGCACGCGTCTTTGCCGCTCGCCCGCCTCGCTGTGTCTCTCTCGGGTGGGGAGGGGGGGGGGGCGATTTGACGCGGCGGCTTCCGGCGAGCGTCCCGAGCATCGGTGTGGTTGCTGTCATCGGCCCGTGGCGCCGGCTGCCCCTTTCCCGCCCCGTGAGCGCCCTTCGTCCGTCCACCGAGCCGGAGAGAGGAGAATCGAGCCATGTCGCGCAGGCGGCACCGGGACGAGAACGATGGTGAGCGGGAGGGAAGCGGAGGGTGAGGGTCGTCGCGAAGGCGCCCGCTGGAGCTCTGGGATAGGCTGTTTTCCAATCAGTTAAACACCGATTTCTCTCCCAGTTTGTTCGGGGCAATAATCTGAAAACAGTTGAGTTTCAGATGGACTAGCTAAACTAAACCTGTATTTGCAGATGGCCCCTGTACATTAAGCCTAATAATGTCACACCGGACATCTCTATCCCATATTCCAGGTCTTTTGTCTTCTGCTAAAAGTTGAGCTGTGCCTTGTAGTTATGGAAGGAGCTTGACAAGTTCCCAACCTGTAACGATTTTTAAAATTGATTTTTTTTATGTATACTATCCTATTTTAAATTCACAGATTTTTGTGCACATGCAGGGATTTTCTTCATAATCACCCCCGATCTGTTTCAGTGTTTCCCAAACTTGACAATTTTAAGGCATGAGGACTTCAACTCCCAGAATTCCACAGCCAGCAACGCTGGCTGTGGAATTCTGGGAGTTGAAGTCCACATGCCTTAAAATTGTCAAGTTTGGGAAACACTGATTTAGGTGAATGGGAAGAAAGAATCCATTATGTACATTGTTGTAGATTGTTATAAGAAAACACTGTTAATATTGCAGGTGTAACTATCCACAGTTTAATTTTGCCTATTTTAAAAATTCTGAACACAGAGACATCTAGATTTGAGAATTGAGGAAAGGAATAACTTTGGGCACGTATATATGTATATATATTTGGGCATTTAGAGGTCACGTTTCATACATCGGGTTCTTCCCAACATTTGAACTGTGATTTCATCTTTTCCTTCTATATACTTGGTTTTTTGGCATTGGTTGGGAAGAGGAAAACTTCCACTTCTGATGACATTGTAGGATTATAGCTGAATTTAAGTTTTAGTCTCAGCTAAATGTAGTCAGTCATCAACCTGTGGTTAGCCTCCCCCCTTCCCCCCCACAACCTGATAGAGAAACAAATTGCAGGACTGGAAAAAGAATGAATCCTTTCCTGTAAAAGTGAACCTAAACTTTTTGTTTTGTTCAGTTCTCTGTTGATGGGCTGACACAGCTGATTTTTCAAAAAAGAAAGAAAGAAAATGAGCTGAGAAAAAGTTGGTTTATCATGCCCTGTTTAATGCTTGAAATTCAGGTGGGCCTCTGTATACTTGTGGTGCAAACATATCCCACACACCTTCCTCCTCCTATTTTCCCCACAACAACAACCCTGAGAGGTGAATTGAGCTGATAGAGAGTGACTGGCCCAAAGTCACTCAGCTAGCTTTCATGGCCAAGGCGGAAGTTGAACTCAGTGTCTTTGTTGCTCTTTAGAAGAAGCTATGTTACATTATAGTCCGTCTTTTCCTCTATTGATTCTATGTAGCCTAGAAGAAAAAATATAACAATATTGGTAAGTCTTTGCATAAAAGTGTTATTTTCTTTTAATATCAGGAAAAGTGAAGCAGAGATATTGGTCTGTTGATTATTTGTGAATACTTGATCAGTGAACACCAGACCAATGTAAACAGATGAAAGTTCTACTGAAGTTACTCTTTAAAATTCTGGACCACGCTGGTCAACATTCTTCAAATATAGGGCACTTCTTATGACCAGCCCTTCCTTGTTTATTTCTGTATGAAAGTTATTATGTATTTCCCATCCTTTGTAACATAGTAAACAAAGTATTACTGTTATTTAGCAACATACTAACCTATTATTTTTAGCACCACTAGAAGAAGTGTAGATAGAACTCCTGTGGCTTCCTTGGGCTTCCACAGAAGTTGATAATGGATTTGAGTACGGTTAGTGCTGGCCTTATGACTGGTTACTTAAGGACCATTCAAACTTACAGTGGCTCTGAATGTGTGTTTTACAGCCCATAAAATACTTCTGGCTGTTTGTAAATGTCTCCCCTCCCCTTGTGGTCATATGACTGCATTTTGGGTGCTTCATAACCAGCTTGCCATTATTATTAGTAGATCCTGCGATTACATGACTACAATTTGTGACTTTTTTTGCAGGATTCCAATATTTTTGGCAGTTTTCAGCAAAAAAAAAAGCCTATTAGAAAGAATTGATATGCATTTACAATCACCACAAAAAAGGTTGTAAAATTGAATCCGGTCATGTGGGTGGCACAACTTACAATCAGAAATCTGGTTCCAATTGTATTTATCAGTTGAGGAATATCTTATGTTATATAGGTACAGTGAAAACTAAAGGCTCACATGCCCCACATACCTACTGGAATTTGAAAGGAAAAGTCATTTGATTGCTTTCATATATCTGACTTTTTGTGAACAGGAAAATATGTCATACAGGTAGACCTTGGTTAACAACAGTAATTGGGCCTAGCACTCTGTTGCTAAGCAACATGGTTGTAAAGTGCAACATCATGTGACCATGCCCAATTACAGCAGCAGTTCTAAATTCTTCCGATTGCCGATTAAAGTGAATCCTGTGCAGTTGTTAAATGTAATGTCCCGTGGTTACCATTTTTGACTACCTGCTGGCTTCCCCATTGGTTTTGCTTGTCTAAAGTCATATTGATAGTCTCAAATGGTGATTGTAGGACACACAACCATCATAATTGTGCACTGATTGCCAAGTTCCCAAATTGCAATCTAATGACCACAGGGATGCTGCCATGGCGCTAGAACTTTGAGGACTGGTTGTGAGTCTAATTCATTCATTTATAACTTTGAACAGTTGCTGAACAAATGGCCATTAAGCAAACACTATCTGTATAATTTTGATTTTCTTCCACTTTCACCTTAGCTTAACTGGATTTGGTCCTTTCCCAGCATTATAATATATGTAGATATGAATGGTTCCTTAGCTTATATTTGCTTGCTTTATTCATGCAGACATCACGATGGACATCTTTTTACTTTCTGCCACTGGATTCTGCCAAAATAATAATACTAGTTTATAAGGTGGACATAAAATGGGTTAGAATTGTTTTTGGTATTCCTTTGTAAAATTTTGCTTCTGCTTTGGCCCAGTCCAGGAAGTTAGCTCCCATTTCAGAAATGGGAATAGAAGCAAAGATCACAAAGGGCATTTTTTTTACTTTCTGCCACTGGATTCTGCCAAAATAATAATATGCCTTGTGGTTTTATTTTTTTTAACCTTTCTAATCTCTTCAGTTGGGGGGATTATGGTGCAGCTTCTAAGGTCAGTTTAAAGAAAAAGGAAGATGGTCCTTGTCTTCAAAAGAATAGAAACGAAGGATGGTTAGAATCAACTTATTTTAACCAAATTCAAAATAAATAGAATTTGAAGGGGATTTTTGTTATGAGTAAATATGTATGTATGTATGTATGTATGTATGTATGTATGTATATATATAAACATCAGTATCATAAAATGTCAGTGCAGTATCTTATGGTATTTTCCTAGAATGAATTGTGAAAATGTACACATAGATTGTCATGTTTTTGATATTTAATATTGCAATTCCACAATATCTCCAACTGTATTGGGACTTTCATTTTGGCACGTGATGTTTTGTCTCACTAAAGTAGAACAACAACACAAGAGAAGAAGAACATCTGAAACAGTTGAAGTTGCAGAGACATTGGAGCACTTAATAAGCGCATTGGGAGAAGAGGTATAAAAGACTAGAAGCTTCATTTTGACCTCTTTGAGGTTTCCCTGTCTGAGAATAACATAAATACTCAAATACAAATGAGGTATCACAAGTATATATATATTTAGAAATGGGATAAAGGTACTGTGTATTGTGTCATTTTTGATTTTTTTTTTAAAAGGAAGATTCTCCTTTATATACTATCCATCAGAGTATCAAGAACAATAAACAAATATTCCTTAGCAGTTATGTGGAATGTATGCCCCCTCATTCTATAATGGGGCCTTAACATTTGATATATTCATTTACAAATTGGGCCTGCAATAAACTATTACTCTAAGTCAGTGGTTCTCAACCTGTGGGTCGGGACCCCATTTGGGGTCGAACGACCATTTCATGGGGGTCGCCAAACAATGCAGTCCGCCATTTTTTCCCCTTTTCCTTAGCTGTGCTACTCCCTTTTATTCTATTGGCTTTTGAAAGCCAATAGAATAGACTCTCTTGAATAGAGTCTAATTCTATTGGCTTTCAAAAGCCAATAGGAATTGTCCAGGCTGTCTCTGCCCTGCTGAGCCTGCCAAAAGTCCCATTCTGCAAATGGTGCTGCACCAGTTGAGTAGTCCTCGACTTATGACCGGTTGAGTAGTCCTCGACTTACGACCAGTTGGGGGTCGCGGCATTAAAAAGGTTGAGAACCACTGCTCTAAGTTTACAGTGTGTAAGAATATTGTGCTAACCAACTTTCCGTGCTGGGTTTCAGCATACCATTCCAATTACTTAATAGTAAGAAATGTTTTATGATTACTGATCTGATCAGCTGTCCTCATTGATTTGATTGAAAACTCTGAAAAAATCAGGATTATGGATTTTTATTACTCAATGGCCTTGTTTAATTGCATTGTTATCACTGCTGACCCTATCTGAATTCCTAATTAGTCCCTCTTTATCTATGTAAAGACTGAATTATTATGAAGCTTTATTTCATTGCAGAAATATAACCAGTTTGCAGATGAGGGTGTTATTGTACAGTGTTTTAGGATGATCAAGAAGAGTCTTTTTTTTTAAATTTTCTTACATTTCTCTTTTTTTCTTTGTCTATGTGTGTTTCAATAAAGAATTTAGATAAGGAATGAAAGAGAATAGCAGTAGAGTATCCTTTAATTGATAGCTTTTGGAGTTACTGTAGCTGTGTACTGAGAGGACATTTTAATGAGAAGTATCTTTGTAACATGTACCGTATATCACAAAAAGACAATAACTTTCTAATATTTTATCCCCTCAGAGTTCTTTTTCTTTGGAATGTAACTTAGAGGACACAACTGAGGTTTTGGAGGCAAATCTGCCAAACTTCAAAAGCAAAATACTGAAACTCCTTTGTACAGTGTATGTATGCAAAAGATTTATGGATCTAGGTGATGATGAATTAACTGTCAAGGGCATGAAATCAAGAGTCCAGTCATTTCAACAGAATATAGATTTATTGTATGCTAAAGCTCTGTAGAAGAATCTGAAGTACTAATGGTCGAAGCCAATAGGTGGTAGATAAGAGTCAACAAAATTCAAGGTGGGCTGGACATGGATCTCTTGTGGGCAAGAAGGTCCTTGAGACTGACAATGCATTTGACCCCTCCCTCAGGCTCAGCCTGGTCATCTCCTACATTAGCTACAGTAAAGGCTTTTAAGTAATTACTTTTGAAAAGTATTTCTTTTCAAAGCTCTTTATTGAATATATTGTATGGCTACATATTTTTCCCCTTTTAAAGAATGTTTGAAACTTGGAGACAATATGGGATAATTAGCAAGGTAAGTAATTAGGAGAGTGGAGAGGAGGTAAGTGTCAAAATAGTTCTCTATTGCTGATCATTGGTAACTGCAATGCAGCCCTCTTAATTTAACCTGTTTTCTGCAACTGTGTGTTGAGACGCGATTCGCAGTGCCAGCTTCCACTGGAATTTTCATATGAGCTCAAAGAAAGGATTATATTTTTATCTGACCTGTTGCTCATTAGACCTTCTCCTTTCAACTTTGCAAAGATCATACTGACACCATACAGACACCTGAGTCTGAAGCAGTATAAATGCTGTGATTGAAACATTGGAAGATATATTGTTACATACATAGTAGAATGTTTCCCATAATTATATACATGTCTGTGTAATTTCCCACTGGGATTTAAAGTACATAAAGAGTTAAATGAAGACTGAATTGACTCTCATGTTATCTTTTTCCCAATATATAGTAGACTTCTTGTCAAGGAAGACACTGCTTTTCAAAATTTAGGCATTCTAGGTAATTTGAAAATCACACATGGGGTAATGACATGGCACTTGTGATTTGAGTTAATAACTGATGCTGTTTTTTCTCTCCTTTATGGAAAAAAAAAATCAGTGCACGTCTGCTACCACAAAAGATGACCCTTTATACAACTCTTGTTGGCTTGCTGAATGCCAGGAACTACAATTTTGGTGGAGAGTTTGTAGAAGCGATGATACGTCAGCTAAAAGAATGTTTGAAAGTCAACCTGTACAATGAAGCTGTCTATTTAGTAAGTTGTTTTCATACTTTAGAGACTTTGCTTAGTTTGGTTTTTCAGTATATTTAAAGAGCTCACATTTTACCTTACAGGCTGTGAAGATAAAAAATGTAATTCCCTGTGATCGTTTGATATCTCCATCCAAACGTTTTCACTCACTTATTTCTTCTGACTTTGTCATAGTGCTCTGCAGTATAAATGGTGTGCTAGGTTTTGTGATGTTTTGTGATAGCAATAGCATTTAGATTTATATACTGCCCCATGGCATTTTACAGCACTCTGAATGGTTTACAATGTAAATGTTATTAGCACATTGCCCCCAATAATCTGGGTCCTCATTTTATCAAACTTGGAAGGATGGAAGGTAATCAACCTTGAGCCCCATCAGGATTGAACTTCAGGCTGTGGGCAGAGTTTGCCTACAGTACTGCACTTTAACCATTGTACCACTACCGCTCCTAATAAATGAGGTTTAAGTGTCTATTCAGTTGTGTCTTGGGCCTGGGATTTCTGGACCTTGTAAAAAACGCTGAAGCAGATACAGCCTCGGCCAGGGTTAGGCAACCTTGGCTCTTTTATGACTCGTGAACTTAAACTCCCAGAATTCCTTAGCCAGCTGGCTCAGGAATTCTGGGAGTTGAAGTCCACGAGTCATAAAAGAGCCAAGGTTGCCTACCCCTGGCCTAGGCTTCTGCTGTGTTCTTGCCTGACCTTATGAGTACTTTTTGCTGATCCATGCTTTAGGGAAATACATGATTGAGAAAGGGCTGAATGTTCTCTTTCTGCAGGTCCGCTTTCTTTCTGATCTTGTGAATTGTCACGTAATAGCTGCACCCTCAGTGGTAGCCATGTTTGAGAATTTCGTTAGTGTGACACAGGAGGAGGATGTACCTCAGGTAAACAATAATACTTTTGCTTCATAGATAAAGAAATAAATTGCTGAAATTTGTTAGTGTGGTTTTTTTTACATTTTTGTGTTGTCATAAGCCTCTCCTCAACTTGTATTATAACAAAAGCCTAAACAGTAAACTATAAGATTTGGCTACGTGCCCTCTGGTGCTCTTGTCACAATCTCTTGTGGCCTTCAGACGGAACATAAGTATGACAAAGCAAAATTTTATCTGCCCATGATTTAGATGAGCAAACAGGGCCCTTGGCATTGTATCCTATCTCATATTAAAAGTGTGCAGTCCAAAAGATCCACAAAGTAGCTCCTAAAACATTTCTAAAACCTAGGTTTGTAGAAAACCTTTTAATCATGCCAATTGCTGTTGATGACTTACAGAAGTTTTCCAGGCCCTGGCTGATTTCATTTACACCAGAGAGTAAGTATTACATCTTAAATACAATCAGAAGCAACGTGTGAAATAGCTCCTTGGGGGGGGAGGGGAATGGTAAATAATAGAGCATCAGCATAACGTAAGGAAAATGTTGGCTTTTCTGTCCTATATTTTTTCAATGATTTGTGCAGATTTACTATGTATTCCCTTATTCACCTTTGTGTAGAATTGTTTTGGAAGTATCAAAATCAACCATTCATGTGCACATATGAATCTGGGCCCTTGAAAGGTTGTACCTGAAGCATCGTAACATAGAGCTACAATTGTGGAATCATAAATAGTTCTTCTTATGAAATTCAAGCCTTTGACCTGATTTAGCTTTTTATGGCAAGAACCAAAAGTATTTTCTGAATGCTTATTGTCCATATTTTTACTTAACAGGTGCGATGTGACTGGTACGTGTATGCGTTTCTGTCATCCTTACCTTGGGTGGGGAAGGAGCTCTATGAGAAAAAGGATACTGAAATGGAGCAGATCTTGTCTACTGTTGAAAACTATCTGAAGTAAGAAAACGAGAGAAAACATTACTTTGTGTTATTATGCTTTAATAGAGCATGAACATAGAACATGTAGACGTCATCAGTTTGCAGAAATACAACTCATTGGCTGTTAAATGTAGAGGTAATAAATAACTTCAGACTTTTAGGCTTAAACCAAGTTATTTTGTTCCTTTTTTAATCATCATCACCTGACTTTACAACATTGAAAGACTTAACATTCGTAGTGGGGACAATGATGCTGCAGAACAGTAATGATAAAGTCTCAAAATTTGGCTGAAATTTGCTCATAATTGTTTTCCGTTGACTCTGAAGACAGGACTAGAATAAATGAGTGCGAATTCCTGGAAAGCAATAGGCAAGTTTGTGGCTTAAAAAGGGATCTGAAATGATCATAGGGCTGACAAGAGAATTTTGAAAGTCTTGGGCTGTATGGTTCTAGAAGCATCTTTGTACATGGTAGCTGAGTCAATTGTCCCCCAAACCTACAGTAGTTAAGAATCAGGTCATTGAAAGCACATACTTTTTCAGCCAAATGCTTAGTTTTCCCAATGCCTCCTGCCAATTGAGATGTACTATCTGGTTTGAATAAAGTGCTGTTTGTTTCAGTGTCTTTCTGAGTTAAAGTGCAAATCAATTATCAGTCGCCTTGAAATGACTATGTTCTTTTATGGCAGACGGCGTCAGAAGACTCACATGTCCATGCTGCAAGTTTGGTCCATTGATAAACCTCATCCACAAGAAGAGGTGAATATGATTAGAGTTTTGAATTCTTGTCCTCACATCCATCTGAAGAAATATAAGTGCAAATTCCGGGTTTTGCTTCATGAAGTTGACACTATTCTAATGAGAAAGTCCTCCCAATGGCTTTTCTTTATTCCGAATTTTTCCCTTGAAATGGTTTCTAAGAAAATTGGGAAGGGTGATTTCCTATAGCACGGAAATCAGTCTTGCTTTGGGAACATCCTTGAATTCTGAAAATGTCTGACGGATGCTGTTGCCTTCCAGTACTTAGATTGCCTTTGGGCTCAGATTCAGAAAATGAAGAAAGACCACTGGCAAGAGAGGTACATTCCGAGGCCATACCTGGCGTTCGACAGCGTGCTTTGTGAAGCACTGCAGCACAACCTGCCTCCTTTTACGCCCCCACCCCACACGGCAGATTCCGTTTACCCGATGCCAAGAGTCACCTTCCGAATGTTTGACTACACTGATGATCCTGAAGTAAGTTAATGATGTGGGGCAACATCCTTGTGGTGCGTTGTCTGTTGGGAAATGAAATGTTTTCGTCTTTGGTGGGTTCCACATAATATGCCCCTTCACCTTCGGTTTGGGTCGTTATTTGGTCTGAAACTACTTGTTTTGTCTATCTAATAGCTCCCTTTACTCCATGTACCACTGCTTTGGAGGGCTCTGTCTATTTTTCAGGGCAGAAAAAGCTGCTTCTAAAAGGGGCAGCTGAACTTTATGCTGAAAAGTATGTTATAAACATTAAATACGTATGAACTACTCTATTAAAACTGTTGGAAAATGCTATGATGCCAGTGATATAATCATGCCTTTTGGGGGTGAAAATGGAGTTTTGGACTCTACCAATAAATTAATCTCTGTTGTTTTCTTTTGTCAGGGACCAGTTATGCCTGGGAGCCACTCTGTTGAAAGATTTGTGATCGAAGAACATCTTCACTGCATCATCAGATCCTTTTGGAAAGAGAGAACAACATGGTAGGGATATATCAATGTCTATATCAGTGTTTCCCAAACTTGACAATTTTAAGGCATGAGGACTTCAACTCCCAGAATTCCACAGCCAGCAACGCTGGCTGTGGAATTCTGGGAGTTGAAGTCCTCATGCCTTAAAATTGTCAAGTTTGGGAAACACTGGTCTATATCAATCGGCCCAAAGAGGGACTGATACTGCATGGTGATAGAGCCTTTGTCAGCTACCTCCAAGACTTGCTCCCATAAGGGAAAGAAGTTATTTGAAGGATGATTTTTGCACTTCCTGCTTGCCCTTTTAAATGCAAATCACATGCCTTTCTTTTTCTATAGTGCTGTCCAGTTAACAAGCTATCCAGGAAACCACAAAATCCCTCTGAATTACCACATTGTTGAGGTAAATATTGCATTTCTCATGTCACCTTTTCTTTTTTAGTGCCAGTGATCTTCCTCTCTGCTAGTAGTTCTTCATCTTACAATGGAGCTTGAAATGATCCATTTTGAATTTGAACCATTTTTGGTACACCGGGCGGGATTGGAAATGGGGCATTTTAACACTGGAATTTTCTGACAATGAAATATTCCGTGCACCTCTTTTTTTTTTGCGAAATATTGCTTTCATATTTTCCTCAGGTAATTTTTGCTGAGTTGTTTCAGCTTCCTGTTCCACCTCACATGGAAATCATGTACACTACGCTGTTTATTGAACTCTGTAAACTTCAGCCTGGATCTTTACCTCAAGTTGTATCCTTTCTCCCAAAGGTTTCTTGTAGCAGTTAATACCTTTTGATAATAAAAGGAATGCTCTGTTTTCAACCATATTGAATTAAACATCATATAAAAACTAACAATTTAAACCTTAATTGAAAAACGACAGCTTGCACAAGCTACAGAAATGCTGTACATGCGCTTAGATACAATGAATACCATCTGCATAGATCGGTGAGTGAGGACATTCTCATCTAAATTTTCTGAGTGACTTGAGATGTTTCAGGGCAACAGAATCCATGATGTTTGTAAATGCTCCTGCTTTTATAGGCCTTCATATTTTAGGTAACTCCTCTCATTTAATTAGTAGAGGAATAAGTGATTTTTTTCTATTCACTTCTTCTGGAGCTTTGTTACATGGCATTCATAATCAACCACTTAGACCAGTGATGGCGAACCTTTTAGAGACCGAGTGCCCAAACTTCAACCCAAAACCCACTTATGTATTGCCGGGTGGGGGTGGCAGGCAGGTGGGTGTGCCCTGCTGGGTGGGCGTGGCTACAGTGGTCATGGCAGACAGGTGGGCGTGGCCAGGGTAGGTATGGCCAGCTCAATGTTGCTCCTGGGAGGGACGCCTGTGTGGGCCGGGCAGGTTTGGGTGAGACCCAGGGGTCTCTGGCAAGTGGGGCAGTGGGCAGGAAGCTGGTTCTGCAGGGTGAGGCGAGGCAGGGTGGGGGTGCCATGTCGCAAGGTGAGGCAGGGGCCAGGGTGGCTGCTGCCTGACACCATTGGCCCCCGCACACAAAGACCAGCAAGCGCATGGGTACTGGAATGCATCCGGCCACATGGGATCTCGGCAAGTTAGCGGGCGGCTGGTTGAAGAGGATGGTTGCCATCTCCGGGGCATGGTGCACGTGCCCACAGAGAGGGCTCTGAGTGCCGCCTCTGGCACGCGTGCCATAGGTTCGCCACCACTGACTTAGACTGCCATGTTAGATTGTTAATAAAAATAGGATTTAATATTAAAATCTAGATGAGAGCTACTCAATTATTGGATATAAGGCTGTGAATTCTTCAAAAATGTTTCAAAAATGATACTTTAAAATACGCTGAGTCTCAATTCAGCAACTCTTTAATCAGCCACCTCACTTTTGGGTGCCAGGTTTTTTTTTTTGCAGCATCTACTGTATGTCAAAGCTTTTGCAAAGCATGGAGGCACCTCTGGAATGGCTCTTCAAAAGACTGATTTACTACAGAATAATTGCACATTTCCCATCCTCCAGTTTCAAAGAGTTTACAATCTGCTGTATCTTGCGTTTCTGTCTATTTGTATATAACGTCAATAGCAGCAATGGAAAATGAAATGTTTCTAATATAAAAATATTTACACATTTTCTTTTTCCCATCAAGGTTCGTTAATTGGTTTTCCCACCATCTTAGTAATTTTGAATTCCGTTGGAGTTGGGAAGATTGGTAAGTGTTTGATTCTCTGTACAGAATAGTCCTCGAATTATAACCACAATTTAGCCCCACATTTCTCTCGCTAAGCGAGACAGTTGTCAAGTGAGTTTTGTCCCATTTTTCAACCTTCCTTTGCCACAGTTTTTAAGCAAATCGCTGCAGTGGTTCAGTTAGTCACACAATTGTTAAGTGAATCTGACTTTCCCATTGACTTTGCTTGTCAAAATGGTTGCAGAAGGGGGTCACATGACTCCCTCGGGACCCTGCAGTAGTCATAAATATGAGCTAGTTGCCAAACGTCCAGCTTTTGATCACATGACCATGGGGACGCTGTGTTATGTCATAAGTGTGAGAACTTTGAATGATATTAAATGAATGGTTATAAATCAAGGATTATCTGTATACATGTATGTACATGGGTGTAAATATGTTAGGACTGTGCAGTGGAGTATTCTGCAGTGCTTATGTAACAGCACTCTTTAAGTCTTGTGCTTGCTTGTCCTGGATGGCTTCTGATTTTCACCCTGCTGATAATCAGTGCTATATGCCATCACAAATCACATTAAAACAGCGGTTCTCAACCTATGGGTCGCGATCCCATTTGGGGTCGCCAAGCAAGGCTGTCTGCCATTTTTTCCCCCTTTTCCGGCGGGTGCCTTACCTCCCTTGGGCTGGGCCAGCTGGTGGCCCAGCCAGTAGTCGGCCTGCTCTGTCTCTGCCGCTTGCCAGCTACGCCTCGGCCGGCATAGGGGGCGGCACCACGCATGCATGGCACTCCCGGGCAGGGAAAGTCCTCAACTTACGACCGGTTGAGTAGTCCTTGACTTACGACCGGTTGGGGGTTGCGGCATTAAAAAGGTTGAGAACCACTGCATTAAAATCTCATTAATTCCTGGATTTATTTTATGGTTTACTGCTTTATTTTGCTATTGAGAAGCACTTTCACTTTCTCCGTAGAGAAGTTGATGGCCACTTTCTGGATACTGATTTGATTTACATACAGTTGGATTTTCACTACAGAGATTCTGCATCTTATTAATTTTTAAAAGCTCTGGTAATAATAATAATAACAACAACAACAACAATAAGTAGTAGTAGTAATAGTAGTAGTAGTAGTTTGGAAGGGACCTTGGAGGTCATCTAGTCCAATCCCCTGCTCAGGCAGGAACCCTACACCATTTCAGACAAATGGCTGTCCAGTCTCTTCTTAAAAACTTCCAGTGTTGGAGCATTCACCGCTTCTAGAGGCAGGTTGTTCCACTGGTTAATTGTTCTAACTGTCAGGAAGTTTCTCTTTAGTTCTAGGTTGCTTCTCTCCTTGATTAGTTTCCATCTGTTGCTTCTTGTCCTGCCTTCAGGCGCTTTGGAGAATAACTTGACTCCCTCTTCTTTATGGCAACTCCTGATCTTATTCTTAATCCCTGGTCTTATTCTTTTTTTTTTTTAATTTTTGATGGAATCTTTCCTCCCCCCCCCCTTCATTTGTGTTATGGGAAACACTATCTCAAGGTTCTCTGCGGTTATTCTGGTACACTATATCTAATTCCCCCGTCCTTAAGAAAAATTGTTTATGCTTCGTTGTGAAAGTTCAGTTACAAGCTGTCCTGGACTATACAAAAAATGCAAACAATGCATCAATTTAAAAACGAAACCCTTTGGGAAGCCTTGAAAAAAAAGCGCTTTTCAACTTACAAGTTCAAATTGAAAACTTAGATTAAAAAGTTTGATAAAATAACAACGGTTTTAAATCAATCCAAAGACAATACTCAAGTACAAGCAACAGCAGGTGAACCTGATTTACAGTTAAATCCAACTTATTGCTGTTGGATTTGAAGGAGAAGTAGTTTGGCTTGAAAAGACATGCATTTTAAAGACTTAAAATTGACAGAACCGATGAGGGATGAATCGGACTTTCAGGTCAAATGGATTGCGTAAATAGAACTGTAGAAATATATAAACTGTAACCATATTTCTCGAGGGAACCATTATTCTTGAAGCATATATATCAATATTTAACTAGGGAGAACAATTTATGTATATTTGTGTCTTTTTCTTTTTGAATGCACAATTAAATTTTTTTTATTTTATTTATTTATTTTATGTCTTGTTTAGTTCTCTTTTTATATTTTTTTGTTTTTGTTTTTTGGAATTGTATTTTAATGTTGTGAATAAAATAAAAACGTGTGGAATGAAAAAATATCCCTCTCTGATCTCAGCAATATTGATGAACATGAAAGGTCTTGTTTATTATAATAGTTTGTTTTTCCTTTTTATAGGTCAGATTGTCTTTCTGAGGATCTTGACAGAGTTAGGCCTAGGTTCGTAAAAGAAGTACTAGAAAAATGCATGAGGTGAGTGAGAGATATCAGAATTTGTATACATATGTACCCACCATGCTGTGTCCATTAGGATAAGCAGGAACCAAGAAAGCATAAAAAAAGAGTAAGCAAAAGAAATTAAAGACACGGAGAAATAAAAAGAAGAGGAAGGATTCCAAAAATTATTTACACCAATATTCACTATGCCACAAAGACCACTTTCAATCTATCAGTTTGCTCTGTCTCATCCAGTTGCAGTTACTCAGTCTTTCTGTTCACTTTTCTTTCCTATATTTTTTTGCAGTTCAGACCTCATTCATTAATTCTCTTTGTCTAAACCCTCTCCACACATTTATTTGCAATCACTAGTTTTGTGTTCATTCTGTCTTGTAGTCCGTCTGCATTCCTTCAGCATACAGCCATTTATGACCCTGTTCTTGTTTTGCGATGTACACACTTCTTATACAATCAATTTTCACTGCATTCAATTTGTTTTTATGCTTCCCCTGAATGGGCCAAAGCCATTTAAACATGTTTTGATATGATCTGACACAAATGTAGTCTTATTTTAAAAACGTGCACTTGTCACTCTAGCCATGTTTTTGGAGAAATGGTTACAAAAATAAAGGAATGTATTAGATGCAGGAAACAGTGTCTGTGAAAAAAGCTCAGACTAACTCCACTCTAATTCACTGGGATGTAAGAAGGAAGAGAAAACATAGTTAATTTTTTGCTACTATAGCTTATATCAGTGTTTTTCAACCATGACAACTTAGCTCCCCATCCCCCATCCAGCATAGAATTCCCAGAATTCCCTTACCGGCATAGCTTCCCATAGCTGACTGGGGAATCCTGGAATTGAAGTCTGCATGTTTTCAAGCATTCAAAGCTCAGAAACCCTGGCATATATCAATAAAGTATAGTTCGAATCAAACTTGTGGAGTTGGCTTCCTGACCTGGTTTAACTCAAAGGACATTGGCTTGAAAACTTCCTTCTCTTTTACAAAGAGAGCAGAGTCTTATCTAGGATTCTAGTAATGGCATCCAATTCTCAGGGCACCTCACTGTCCACAGCTTTGTTGAAATATCACCATGTGGATTTGCAGTGAACTGATCTGCACAATACCACGATAAAACTAACCTGGAATTTAGGTCAAGAGTTGTCTCAGCCAGCCATAGCCCGGCAGCTAGCAGCTCAGATAATATTTGTGCCCTCTCTTGGGAATTTAAGAGAGATTTGGAGAAGACCAGAATTAATTCCTGACTTTCAAAAGTCAGCGTGAGTTCTTTCTGATAGATTGACCAGTTGAATTTGAGTTTGCCAAAAGAAGGGGTGATCAAAATGCGGTAGCCATATTGAAGCCAATAACCCAGTACTGAGCAATTAAAAGAATTATAATGTTAAATTATAGCATAGGCACAGCCCTCGTTCTTCTGAAGAACTTTTTATGAATGTTGTTCAGGTTCAGTGAACAGACATCAGCTCTGGGGTGCTTTACCAGTGCATGTATCTTTTACTGAATAATGAGCAAGAGCAACTTTCTTCAAAATACTTTTTCTTTTCTTCTTTTTTCAGGCTTTCCTACCATCAGCGAATAATAGATATTGTTCCTGCTAGTTTTTCAGTCTTGATTCCTGCAAATCCAACGTGTATTTATAAATATGGAGAAGAAAGCAACAGTATGTTGAGAGTATATAATTTACATTTTAAGATATGAAAGACGCATTTGCTGCTGTTGGTAGGAAATGGTCTGTGTGTGTGGGGGGGGGAGGCAATAATAAACCCCTTTAAAGAAAACTGCTATAAACATGTGTAGCTTTGAGAAACACCCAAGGGCCATCCAAAGCCCTAGTGGGCAAGATGACACTAGGGGACATTGCTTCAAGATGTGGCTTCTTATCTTCTGAAACATTCCTCAAGATACGTAAAACCTTCTACTATGTTGCAGGCAGCCTTTTATATAAAAGTGTCCAATCTTCAAAGATGGTAACTTTGCTTCTTCCTATCTTTTTAGAATCTCTTCCTGGGTACAACGTTGCACTCTCCTTAAACGTTGCTATCAAAAATAAAGCGAGCAATGATGACATTTTCACCATTTTGAAGGATGTGCCCAATCCTAATCAGGATAATGATGGTAAGCCCGTCTAATATTTACTGTGTCCCATTCCTAATGTTCATTTATGAAAACATTGCAAAACCTCAGAACAACAACAACAATAATAATAATAAAGTTGAAGGGACCTTGGATGTCATCTAGTCCAACCCCCTGCTCAGGCAGGAAACCCTATACCATTTCAGACAAATGGTTGTCCAGTCTCTTAAAAACTTCCAGTGTTGGGCCATTCACCGTTCCTGGAGGCAGGTTGTTCTACTGATTAATTGTTCTGTCAGAAAGTTTCTCCTTAGTTCTAGGTTGCTTCTCTCCTTGATTAGTTTCCATCCATTTAAGCTTATGTTTAAGCATATCTGGTACATGGTTTTGATTGTTATGCACTTAGACAGAATATGTACTAACTCAGTGGAATTTCTTTTGTCCCTGACTTTTAGTATCTTACCTCCACCCCATATATGCCCACAAGCAAATATTCTTTTTGTTTGAAACTGGTATACAGTATGCCTAAGTATATGAGATGGCATTATTGTTGATAAGGTTAATACCAAATTTATTCCAAACATCATACTTACAGGCAGAATTTCTGTAAGATTCTTTACTACAGGTTATTATTCCAGACTTAAAGCCTGGATTAATACACCCGTAATAAAGCATCTTACAGAAATTCTATCTATAAGTATAATGTTTGGAGTAAAATTTGATATTAATATATTATTATATTAATATTAATTATAGCAATATATTATCTTAATAATAATAATAATTGATACTATTCCAGATCTGCTAAAACGGGGGGTCCAATGGCTCAGCAGTTAAAAACACTGAGTTTGTTAGCTGGAGAGCTGACAGTCTGGGTTTGAGACCCAAGACCCGCGCAATGGGGTGAGTTCCTGTTACTTGCCCCAGCTGCTGCCCACCTGGCAGTTTGAAAGCATGCAAATGCGACTAGATTAATAGGTACCTCTTTGGCGGGAAAGTAACAGTGTTCTGTGTGCTTTTGGCATATAGCCATGCAGGCCACATGCAGGCCACATGTCTTCGGACAACGCTGGCTTCCTCGCCAAGAAGCGGAGATTAGGAGGTTAAAACATAAGGAACGGTTGCTGGAATTGGGTGTATCTAGTTTAACGAAGAGAAGGACGAGGGGGGATATGATAGCAGTGTTCTAATATCTCAGGGGCTGCCACAAAGAAGAGGGAGTCAAGCTATTCTCCAAAGCACCTGAGGGCAGGACAAGAAGCAACGGATGGAAACTAAGGAGAGAAGCAACCTAGAACTAAGGAGACATTTCCTGACAGTGAGAACAATTAATCAGTGGAACAACCTGCCTCCAGAAGCCGTGAATGCTCCAACACTGGAAGTTTTTAAGAAGAGACTGGACAGCCATTTGTCTGAAATGGTATAGGGTTTCCTGCCTGAGCAGGGGGTTGGACTAGATGACCTCCAAGGTCCCTTCCAACATCATCATCATCATCATTATTATTATTATTACGCTCTAGAGTGGGACACGATTGACAGGGAAAATTTTTTACCTTTTTTTTTAATTGCTAAAATGAGTCATTCTTTTTCAAAAGACTGCTGGAAAGTAATGAACAGATTGGATCACCCTTTTTAATGTTGTGGAAACATTTTAAAACTTCATAATTCTGGAAAATGGTTTTTAATAGAATGGGACATTTTTTGAAACTTGTAATTTGACTTTATATTAAATTGAACTAAACTGTATATCCTTTCAAAAAAAAAATATATTGAATCGGCATTGAGTATATGAACAGCTGAATGGATCTGAGACGTTTTTATTGGAAAAGATCAGAAGCAGAGCTAAATAGATTATGAGAGTGTGCCTTGATGTCCAGAATAATCTCATATTTGAAAAGTAAATCTGATGTAGAATTGATGTAGAGTTTAATTATAATTGGAAACCATTCTTGGATTGTAATTTTATATATGGATTTGTTCCAAATCCAAATTTTTCATATGCATAGAGTTTATGTCTTACTCTATCTGATTTTTTATTATGGGGCATCAGGTCAGTGTTAACTTTAGTGACCACATACTATAGGTAGATTTTATCCAGGATGATCTGTCCCTAAGATAGTTCTTCAAGTTTTCAAATGGTGCATCCACCACCATTATAACTGGGTCCATCCATGTTACTTCTGTCCATCTTTTTCCTTCCATCTTTCCTCAGCCTTAAAGATTTAACCAGAAGACTAGGTCTTCGCATAATGGATCCAAAGTACGGATATGATCTTTAACCAGTATTGATTAATGTGCTTATTGTTTTGTTAGTTATTAGTACTGCGCTAACCAAGCATTTTCAACTTAAAACCTAATAAGGGATATTTGGTTTTTGTTTAGAAAATGGATATGATAAGAAAAAAACCCTTTATGAAATTTCCTCACCATTTTACTTTAAAAAAAAAAAAAAAGACAAAAATTCTCAGTCTTTCTCAGCCTTCCATAAATGCCCATATTGTTTACAGGAATTTGTAACTTTGTTTTCCAGATGAAGGCTTTTCATTCAATCCTTTAAAAATAGAAGTTTTTCTCCAGGCACTATTGCACTTAGCGTCAAAGTCATTCAGTCACTCTTTCAGTGCTCTGGGAAAGTAAGTAATTTATCATTAAGTATATTATTCTGTCAGTGCGTTTATATTGTTGCCATTGTATTTTTATTTGTCTTGTAACATTACGAAAAAGAGGCCAGAAGCAAATAAGATTTTTATTTATTTAATGACTGCGTTTTAAAAAATAGCTATATTATCTACTTCTCTTTAAATGTCTGTGAAGATTCTCAGTCATCCAGGTCATGGTTATCCCAAGGGGGCTTTTTCAAAAGACGAATGGACTTTCTTGGCTCTTTCCCTGAAGACATTTTGCTTTTCACCCAAGAAGCTTCTTCAGTTCTGACTGGTTCACTTGAAACTGGAGACACTTCTTGGTGAGACCCGAAACGACTTCAAGGAAAAACAAAGAAAGCCCAGCTACCTTTTGAAAAAAGCACTTCTCTTTAACTTGCAATTTAAAATAGGCAGATTCCTATATAGTCCCTGATACTTGGGTACTTCTGCTTAGTTTTGCATGGCAGGAGCTTCCTCTTAAACTGCAGCATCCACAAAAAGTTCATCAATCCTTTCTCACCTCCTTGTGATCTGCAGCACAACATTATCCCCATATACATCTAAGTCTCAAGATACAGCCTCACAAGAATGACCAATGGAGCCCCGGGAGAAAGAGAGGGGAAATCCAAAAGTTTACTGCTGGAGAAGAAGAATCCTTTGTGCTTTAGATTTTGCAGTGGTGTAGTCAGCCTGGACAATGGCAAAATTAAAAGCAACCTCTCTGAAGAAAAAGTCGATGACTGGGTCCAATTATTCAATGAGAAAATGTCAGCCCCGTGATGTAAACCATGATGAAATCAACTCAATCAGAAGACCAAGCTCCTTTTGTTAAGGTTGGTTATAGTAACAGAACCTTGGGAATCTGATTGTGCTTTACCTCCTCTGCCTCTTAGCCTCCTGTGACCGAGGGAGGTGTCTTGACTGTGTCTAGTTCACTTTAGGATAAAGGCAGGGAGGTAGGGAAGACACATTTAGAGTTGCAAGATCCTGTTACTTTAACCCGATAACAAAAGTAGTATTAACATTCATGACTTTGCATTCAAGTCTTGGCTACCTCAAAGGGCTGGAACAAACCTTCTGTGAGACTTAGGCTTAAGCTAGGTTTTTCACCTTGTTGCTTTCTCTTATCTCTGACTCAACTCCCGTGAGAGAGAGGGGGGCGAGGTTTAACGGTGGTATAGATTTGGGGGAAGAGGTGGGTTCCATAAATCACTAAACCCCAACTAAATATGTAGCTAGTCAAGATAGCAGGAAGAATTGCTGTGTCACAGAGCTCTTTGTCAACCTGTTGATACTGCTAGTTTTTTAATCTAAAAATTCAGAGTTCAGAATGATCTCGGGAGACTAGACCAGTCCACTTCTCTTTCTCTCAGTTTTGCCAATTCAATCCATGTTGCATTTATGAGGTTACATAAGAAGTGACCTGTAAGAATGAATGACATGTATTCCTTAACGCTCTTGGGTTATTCATTTCTGTTCTAATAAGATTTCGAGAAATCCTCAAAACTCTGGCTGAAAGTGATGAAGGGAAGCTTCATATTCTCAGAATTATGTATGAAGTATGGAAAAATCATCCTCAGGTAAAAATGAATATTTATATTAGACTTCCTTCCTTCCTTCCTTCCTTCCTTCCTTCCTTCCTTCCTTCCTTCCTTCCTTCCTTCCTTCCTTCCTTCCTTCCTTCCTTCCTTCCCTCCCTCAGCAATTCCTGCTTTAGGTAGGAGAAAAGTGTGTTCCCTCTTTTTAATTTAAACTTCCTTTATTGAGTTAATTTAGTTTGTGTTGCTGAACAAGACCTGAAACTTTTTTCTTTTTGTATCTATTGTTTCATAAGATTATAACCAAAGAAATTGTATGCATCTATATGGCAGCTCTTAATCTCCTCCCAAAGCTAGCTCAGTCACGGACAGTCATTCTCTGGGCTCAATCAAGGAAAGAGTGGACAGAAACATTGATAGAAATCTCTGTGCCTTTTAGCAGGAATGGGGGTTGCATTCCAATGTTCCAGAGTGTCCTTTGTGTCTTTAGGAATGGTCTTCCTGCTCATGGGTTGGTACAGAGATGCAGTCCTGAACTGATGGTTTCCTGTTCACCTCTTCTCAGCTTTGACATAAGAAAAAGTTAAAAAGTAAATGATTTAAAGGTCCTCCATTGTTCAGATTTCCCCAGAAAATGTGAATGTGATGGAATCTGTAATTCTTGATGGGAAGTTATGATAAGTGGCCCTCCCAACATAAATAATTATGGTCTGCACAGCTTAGGCACTGATCTTATAGAGAGGCTGTGCTTTGAGGGATCCTGTGTAGTTTCAGTTAACTGGGATCTCGGTCTGTGAGTTTGTGTTGAAAGTTGTGTCCAGATGACAACACAACGCTACTGATGAGCTGAACAAAGTTTCTACATTTGCATAATTACACAGATGATTGCTGTACTGGTGGATAAGATGATTCGAACACAGATTGTGGATTGTGCTGCAGTGGCAAACTGGATTTTTTCTCCAGAGCTATCTCATGATTTTACAAGGTAAATAAATGTCAACCACCTCATAACTTTAAAAAAAAAAAAATCTTCAGATTTTGATTTGAATATTTCTCATAGTGAATGGCCTTAATAAAGGGGGATTTTGTTTAAGTTAAATATATTTGCTGAAAGTAAATACACTTAATGTATCTTATTGAAATTTACATCTAATTGAAATTTTACAGCCCTAGAGAATTATGATTCTGAAATTTCTGTTCAGAGGGAAGATTAGGAGGTGCAAGTTGTATCGTTGTGTTTTAAATTTGGGGCCATTTCAGTTATCTGAGAAAAGTCCAGATTTACAAGTGTTCAGCCTTATTGCTGACAACAGTCAGAATGTTTTCTCTGAACATCGGGGTTTTCTTTGCTTCTTTTCTTGCTAGATTTTATATTTGGGAGATCTTGCACTCTACCATTCGTAAGATGAACAAGCATGTGATGATGATCCAAAAGGAGCTAGAAGAAGCCAAAGAAAAACTAGCCAAGCAACAGAAAAGAGTGGGTGACTTTTTTCATGCCTGTATGAAGAAATATAGCTTGAAACATATTTCATCAGCTACAACAGTGTTTCCCAAACTTGACAATTTTAAGGCATGTGGACTTCAACTCCCAGAATTCCACAGCCAGCAATGCTGGCTGTGGAATTCTGGGAGTTGAACTCCACATGCCTTAAAATTGTCAAGTTTGGGAAACACTGAGCTACAAGAACATAAGATTTGCTTTGCTCTACTGAACTAGAGACGGGCAGCAGGGCAGAAAGTTGGTGATGGTCATCATTCTGTTGTGTCTATGGCTCAGGCCTTCTTATTTTTGAATACTTTTCATTGGATAATTTAATTTTTTTGCATCCCCATGCTATGATAAAACCACAGTCGATAACATGTAATCAGCTTCCCCATATAATTGAGCGTGATTGATTTACATTTCTGATTTATATCTCAATAGTGGAGACTTACAACATTTTTAAACAATAGTCGATATAGTCTAAAATGGGTAGGCAACTTGGCTATTTTATGACTCGTGGACTTCAACTCCCAGAATTCCTGAGCCAGCCATGCTGAGGGGAAAGGGAAACGTTTCCAAGCTGAGCCATACTGGCTCAGGAATTCTGGGAGTTGAAGTCCACGAGTCATAAAAGAGCCACGGTTGCCTACCTCTGATCTCAAACAACAGCTGAGGCACCCAATCATAGACAAAGCAGTCATTTTTGGATCACGTTAGTTTAACATTACCCAAAAACTATGTTGTGCGTTCTCAAGCCAATTTCTGATAATATATGCAATAACTGCCTTTTTATTTTTGTTTTGTTTTCAAGTCTTGAATATTTTTAACACATCTTGAAATCTGCTTATGCCTGTAACTGATTTAAAATTACAGATACAAACTTTCAACACGTTCTCATTAACTTCTGCCTCCTTAATGTCTCCTATTAACAAAAGTCTCACCCTTGAATGTTTTTGCTTTCTCTTCTGTTGTGCTCTTACTGTTTACATTTCAACCCTTTCCCTCCAGCGGGATGATGTCCGAAGCAATGAGAGGGGAAATTGGCCCCTTGAAGAGCAGATCGAACGTTTGCAAGAAAAAGTTGAATCAGCTCAAAGTGAACAAAAAAACCTCTTCCTTGTAATATTCCAGGTAAAAGCAGGGACCATATTGATGGGCCAATGAAAAGGGCACTCTTAAAAGATTAGTGTGGCTGCCAAATTCTAGAACAAGCGTTTCTGCTTCACAAGGTTCCAAATTAAAATTCTGTGCATTTGAGAGCAAGTTGTTGAAAATAACGGCAGGTAATCCTTGACTTACAGCAGTTCATTTAGTGACCGAAGTTACAATGTCTCTGGAAAAAAGTGACCTGTGAATATTTTTCACGCTTGCCAGCGTCGCAGCATCCCCATGATCCCGTAATCAGAATTTGGATGTTTGGCAACTGGTTGACATTTGTGACGGTTGCAGTGTCCTGGGGGGTCACGTGATCACCTGTTGCAATCTCCTGACAGGCAAAGTCAATGGGGAAGCCAGATTCATTTCACAACCATGTGACTAACTTAACTGCAGTGATTCGCTTCACAACTGTGGCAAGAAAGGTCATAAAATGGGGCAAAATTCACTTTAATTACTGTCTCACTTAGCAAAAGACATTTTAGGCTTAATTGTGGTGGTAAGTCCAGGGCTAGCCGTACTGAGTCCATGTTTGCTAAGGCTGTCATTCTCTACTCAGTTATTCCCTACTTAAGTCAGAGACACTTTTGACCCCTACTCGAAAGAAAAGTAATCTTGCCTACTGTGAATCCAAGGCCAATAATTTCACCTTGTTGATTCCTTCCAGCGTTTCATTATGATCCTAACAGAGCATTTAGCACGAAGTGAAGCAGGAGGCATTGATGTAGCTACACCTTGGTACAAGAACTGTATAGAGAGGCTGCAGCAGATCTTCTTACAGGCAAGTCTTACCTATGTCAGAATGGATGTGGCTGTTGAAAGTGAGATTATCTGGAAATCAATCTTGGCACCATTGATCGGCAATTTCTTCGTAGCGGCTTGATTCAAAAGCCTGAACAGGATATTGTCAGATTGTAGTATTTTGTTCATTATTGGCCCAAATTGAACTTGGATTTTAGCTATGCTATTTTTGTTGTTTTCTTAGATAAAGTTGTGTCTGCATGTGTTAAATGATTTGTAGAATTATTTGCTGCCTACAGATACCAAGGAGAAGCCGGTGAATATCTCTCAGAGATGAATGTGTCCAGCTGGTTTTGCATCATTGACATGCTGTTACTAATTAAGTCACAGCACTTTCTAGATTGATATTGCCATTTAAGATCAGACCAAAATCCTTTTTCTTCATTAGAAATTCAGGCAACACAAAATATATCTGTTATTTTGGACATTTTAGTAATCTCATTTTGCTGGTATTTATTTGTTTAATCAATTTATAGGGCTGCCCATTTCACAGAAGTGACTCTATGCAGCTAACACATTAAAAAAGAATACAAAGATCAGTAAGTCAACAAGACATCAGAAACCTATGATAGTAGCCAAGACCAAACCCAACAGAGGTAGTCCTTGATTTACAACCATCCATTAATCGTTTGAAATTACACTGATGCTGAACAAAGGGACCTGAGACTTGTACTCAAAGTTACAGCTGTTGCAGCATCCCCACAATCACATGATTAAATTTGGGACACTTGGCAATCCGACCGACAGCAAGGACGCGGCAACAGCCTCCATCTGCCTATGTTCCCTTCCCAATCCAGCCTCACCAGGTCTCAGAGGCTTTGGGCCTCCTCCCTGCCCTCATGCCTTGCTCCATTTACTTTTCCAGAGATTGATTTTCTGAAAGAGTAGCAATAGCAATAGCATTTGGACTTATATATTGCTTCACAGTGCCTTACAGCATTATCTAAGTGGTTTAAGAGTCAGCATATGGCTCCCAACACTCTGGGTCCTCATTTTACTGATCACGGAAGGATGGAAGGCTGAGTCAACCTTGAGCTGAGGAGAATCGAACTGCTGGCAGTCAGCAGAATTAGCTTGCAATACTGCATTCTACCCACTGCATGTGGCCTTTCTACTGAGGGTCTTCACACAATCCCGGAAGCGGGTCACATTCTGGAAGCGGGTGCCCCTCTTTCAATCTCTCAGAAGGATGCTATTTTCCAGAATTATTAAGTTCTGGGAAACAAAACAGTATATAGAAGCAGCTCAAGACACTGTTCCCTGATTCGGTGGGCGGGGCCCAGGAGAAGGGAAAGTAAAGCACAATCAGACTTGCAAGATTCAGTTTATAGTGTATCTTTATCTAGTTCTAGTCTTCACGTGGAGTCTGTTTCTTGATGTGATCTTGATCCAAGGGGCCCTAAGACTCACAGCCATTTAATGTCCCCAACCACAGCCTCCAGACTCTCTGATAGAACCACCAGTGGCATCAGTTGGTAGGCCAACAACAGAGGTGTAGAGCTGAACATCATTAGCACACAATTTGATGTCCCACACTGCACTGTCAGATGACCTCACCCAACAGCTTCAGGAAGATATTAAATAGAAATAGGGAGAGTGCCAAATCCCGAGGAACCCTGCAGATAAAATGCTGTGAATTAGATCTCTCTCTCCTGACTGAAACCACCCTTGGAGGAAGGTGGATGATCAAGGCAGAACTGCATTCCACTTCTAATCTCCAGAATCTAGAAGAATTCTGTGATCAAAGGTATCTATGAAGCTGAAGTAGAACCACTTTCTCAACAACCTTCCCCAAGAAGAGAAGATTGGAGACAAGTTTAAAGTTAGCCAAAACTATCAAATTCAGCAGTGGCTTCTTGAGGCAACATTACCTTTTTTCATCAGTGGTTCCACCATTTTGTTTTAAGAATGGATTCATCATTGCCAGGATCCAACCACATACCATATTCTGAGAAACCTTAGCTAATCAGGAGCACGCAGGTAGCTTAGCTAACAGTTCCATTTAAGCAGCCAAACTTTCTGTTAGTCACATGCTGGGCCCAACTGTGATTGTTATTGTCTCTAAAACCTTTAATTACCAGGATTGGCTTTTATTAGATATGTCTCCCAAGCCCTGGGTCTTTCATTGATGATTCTAAATGACTAAATGAATGCAAGATTCAAATCTATCATCTAAAATTAGATGGCAGTCCCATAAACATTAGACAGTGGTACTGGCATGGTTACAGAAAGCTGTCTTAGACAAAGTTTTACATGGATTTAATTAAGACTTTGTTTTATTTGTACAGATTTGTAGCTGGAGATGGATGTCTGAAGTTGAAGTTTATGTATTTCTGTTTCTAATTTCTTTCTTTTTTCTTTCTTTTTATTATTTTAGACCAACAAAACAAAACACAACAAACATTACACATTCTAATTTCTGTTTATTTTATACAGTATTTTTATTACCTTCATTTTACAGTGCTCTGGAAGTGATGGGCTGATAGATATTAAGTAAATAATATTTTGTAATGACCATTTAATCTTTCATTTCTGTATAAAAGCAGTTAGTATGCTATAAACCTACCACTTCATTTGATACTGGATTTCATGATTAAGATTGTCCAGTCTGGTTTTTCTGATTGTTCCAGACCAGATTCTGTTTTTAGTTGTGTTGACTTGAGTTGCACGTATGTATAGTATAGTTGTGCTGTACCTACCATACAAATCAAACTTGCAATATTAACCCACAGGTGGCAAGTACAAACAAGATATTAAACTTTTAGAAAGATGCAATGTTTTTTTTATTTAAGGTGCTACATCATTTCCAAACTTAACCGAAATGCTTTTTTTGTGTCTTAGCATCATCAGATCATCCAACAGTACATGGTGACCTTGGAGAACCTTCTATTTACAGCAGAATTGGATCATCACATACTGGCTATATTTCAGCAGTTCTGTGCACTCCAGGGCTGAGTACTGTAGCTTTTTTTTTTTGTATAGGACTTAATTTCATCTTGTTAAATTTAAGATGAAAACTTTGATGGGAAAGAAAGGAAAAAAATATAATCTGAAAGTGCTGTGCTAAATAATACACAGTACTCAAATTTTCAGCAGTAGGGGCCTTATGCTAGTTATGATTCCTGAAGGTTTGGGATAGAACAGTGTTTCCCAAACTTGACAATTTTAAGGCATGAGGACTTCAACTCCCAGAATTCCACAGCCAGCGTTGCTGGCTGTGGAATTCTGGGAGTTGAAGTCCACATGCCTTAAAATTGTCAAGTTTGGGAAACACTGGGATAGAATAACGCGTGGATTTCTAAATTTGAAATGGTTTGAATGTTGACTCTGCCATAGCATCCCTTTTGTGCCCTCCTATTGTTGGTATAAAAGTTAAAAATAGAAGACAATAAATAAACGTGGCTCTTTGTTTACCCCTTGCATATTATGCAACAGGTTCCATAATAATGTGAAACAAGTCTCAAAACATATGAATCTGTCTGAAGATGTCCTTTTTGGTGGTAATGCTCAAAGCTCCGTAAGAAACTGAAGTCTCAAATATATGAATATTCAAACGGCCAAGTCTGCAAAGAACTTTTGGATATGTTTGCTATCAAAATGAATTATCATGGTTGTATGAGACATAATTGAAATACAACATTTTTTTTTATATTGGTCTAATGTGCTTATTTTGGGTTACCTAGAATAGAAACACACTTAATTACTGAACCAACAATTTGTGCTGCTCATTTGTAATGCAGATATAAGTTGCATTAAGTGACTTAATAAAACAGTGGTTCTCAACCTGTGGGTCGGGACCCCATTTGGGGTCGAACAACCATTTCATGGGGGTCACCAAACAAGGCTGTCCGCCATTTTTTTCCCCTTTTCTTTGGCCACGCCCCTGGCACCTGGTGATGTATAAGTGGTTGGGGGTCACCACAACATGGGGAACTGTATTATGGGGTCGCGGCATTAGAAAGGTTGAGAACCACTGTAATAAAAGCTATCAACACTAGCCTGATCTGCCTTCCGTAGCTCAAGATTGTCTGATTACTATGGAGAAAGTGTATTTTTGTTTCATTGGCCTAGACCAAGAAGACAACCAGGACTCTTGTGCTTCTTTTTATTTATTTATGTTTACTCATAAATTGGATAAGCCAAATCATTAGATTAAAGGCTGGCTTTGCCAATGTTGTTATCAACGTCTTAACTTGAGAGTAAGAAACTTGAGAGTTACTTAAGGGCCTATTCTTAATAGTAGAAAATATATACAGCTCAGAGCTGAATTACTGGGTTCTTAGTATTCCCATTTATCATCACTAGGCAAGACAGCACATTGAACTGCTAATGACATCCAGCCAATAAATGAAAAATAAGTTCACAGATTACTAAAGTATTCATTTACCAATATATGACAAGCCCAGATATTTTCCCTCCAAGTAATGTGTTCCTTTAACAAGAGCTAGGTAAGGAGACTTCCATTGCCATAATAGTAATACTGTGTTTTCCCCAAAATAAGACTGGGTCTTATATTTATTTTTGCTCCAAAAGACACATTAGGGCTTATTTTCAGGTGACGTCCTACTTTTTTCATGTACAGGAGGCAGTGAGCACGCAGGAGCCGATGGTGTCTGGCAGCAGCTGCAGCCTGCCAGCCCCTTGGCCAGTGCACTATGAGATTGTGCAGCCTGCGCAGCGCAGGTGAGTCAGAGAGCCGGGGTGGGGGGAAGGCATGCAATCCAGCCTACCAGATGCAGCTGGCCCGCCCATGGCCCATCTGGTGGGCTGGGTTGCCAGACCTCTACCTCTGCCTGCTGCTGGTGCCGCTACTGTGAGGCAAGGCAGTTGGTGGGACGGGGGTGGCCTGGCTGCGGGACCCGCTCGCTCACCTGCCCATCTCACTACACCTGCCAGACACCTGCTGAAGCCACGCAGGGCAAGGTAGGTGTTACCACCCGGTCCTTCGGTTGCCCCCACCTGTCTGCATCACTCTCCTCACGTGAAGGACGCGCTCTGCCAGCCCTGTTGCCACCTCCAAGCAGCTGTCCTGGTAAACCCACGAGGTGAGGGGGTGGCAACCTCGCTGATGCCGGGCTCTGAAGCCGTCCCCACAGCCACCTTCTCTGGTGCCCTCTCCTCTGCCTCGTCCTTGCAACTAGTCTGCAAGAGGCAAAAGGAAGTGTCAATGGTGGTGGCGGCGGCTTCTGAAATTGATCCAGGGAAGAACGGATGGCTGAGGAAACCCTTCTGCAGCCAGCAAAAGAGCCAAGTGGCAATTGCTCAGGGAAGAAAAAAAGGCAAGGGTGTGTGTGAAGAAATCTTCCTCTTGATTGCTTCTTATGGGGAGTTTCTGGCTGCACGGGTCACAGCGAGAACTCGGAAGTCCCGGGCTGGCTTCCGAAGGCACAGGGCTGGCTGTTGGCTGGAGCTGAGGCATCTTTGGGAAGGGTCCCCTCCTCCTCCTCCAGAGACCTATGGATCCTGCACCTGGGCCCCCACAGGTGCCCCCTCCAACACAAGTGACATGGAACTAGCCCCCCCCCCCCACACCGCAATCACAATACTAAATGCCTGTCTGGCTGATGATCTTAACTGGGGCTTATTTTGGGGGTGGGGTGTAATATTACGATCATCCTGAAAAATCATGTTAGGGCTTATTTTCTGGTTGGGTTTTATTTTCGGAGAAACATGGTAGTTTAAACTACATACTGCTCTACCCTACAGGGCCTCAAATAATTTGTTCAGCTGTACTGTACATTCCTAGCAAATCTTCAGCCCTCCCAGTAGCATTCTCTATGGCAATACATGGCTCAATCCGAAGTTTTGGGGCTTAAAAGGTCTGTGACTGTGTTGAAATAACACTAAATCAAAATGACACAAACCACACTATGGTGTATTATGTTCTCTGTGTATGATCTTCAAAGTTGGAAAGTGTTTTTCTAACCCACAAACTACTGTAGATATATATATGAAAAATGTTAAGAATGCATGCAGTGATAACAGATAAGCATTTAACTGTGTAAATATTATATAGTTAAAATATTTTTATTATTCAATAAATGTAACATTTTTATAAAAGGATTATTATGCCTCTTTTCTACCAGATTTTCAGTTCTTATTTCTGGATAATGGTTAGGGTATGCAAAGTAGGCCAGAAAGAATATGCCATATCAATTATATGATATGCCATATCAATTATATAAACACTTGAATACAAAAATGCATCGAATGTAAATCCAAATCGTTCTACATCTTTTCATAGGTTAATTCATGGCCACATGTGCTGCAGATCTTTCTGTACGTATCATCATCTATCGTTTCTTCAGCTCCATAGTCATGTTGGTGGATACTTGTGTCTTTTTTCCATAAACTACTTCTTACAGCTCGCCGTAATTCTAATACAATAGAAATAAGGAGCACCGTAGTTAAAACACGCACATACACACACACAAATAAATAAAATCAATTAACCCCAATGACATTCTGTATGTACTCTGAATGGGAGTATTGTATTGTATTCCAAAACATAACTAGGGACTAAATCCTAATTATTTTCATTAATGTTCTGTTTTTGAAAGTGAATGTGCAAATGGAATTGGGGTAAATCTAGAGTGATTTTTAAGGTCCATTAGATAGATCAGAGGTCCTCAACCTTTTGGGCACCAGGGACCAGTTCCATGGAGAGGTTTTTTTCCGTGGATCAGAGGAGGCGTGGTTTTGTGTGCTGCCTGCATCCCGTGGATGGGGCTTTGCTTGTTTGCGTGGACCAGTTGCTGGCATGCCGCAACCCGGTACCAATTCACAGACCCGCAGTTGGGGACCCCTGAGATAGATGACAGTGATCATAAAAAGCAGACACAAAAGAATGTAACTCTTTCTCTGGATTTCATATATTAAGTCCCTCATCTTTCAGCGAGTGGGGCGTCAGTCACCAAGCATATGATGAGTGCAGTAAAGCTGGCTGGTTGTGTGTATGTGTGGGCAGGGGTAAGTAGATTGGCTACTTGCAGAATTCCAATTTACCTGACAGTTCTGCCATCCTTTCTAGCTCTCTTCCCCCCCCCCCCATTAGCTTTCCTTTTTCTTTTTGAAAAATAAGCACTAATATGAGACTTGAATTCTAGTTTGATTTAGACACAAAGGCAGCTGGGTGAACTTGTGCCAGTCCCCCTCTCTCAGCCACGAGAAGCAGGCAATGGCAAACCACTTTTGAAATCTTTGTTGCAAGGGCTTTTCCAGGCAATTGCCAAGAGCCAACATTGACTCAAAGGCACTAAAAAAAGAAAAGAAAAGCACTGCTATAAACAGTTGCATCAACCCTACATTTTTACTTTTGAGTCAAATATACTGGGTCTGAGCGGAATCCAAGAACGTTGTTTGAAAGAAAGCTAATTTGTGGAGACCAGTACATTGTCCTGCAGTAGAGAGGGGGCAGGGAGGTTTACATTTACCTTTAACTTTTTTATCAAATTTTTTCTGTTTCATCTTCTCTCTGTTATCTTGGCGGTTTTCTTTAGCTTCTTCTAGTGCTTCCTCACTACCCCAAACTTCAAGGGAGCGCTTAATTACCTGTAAATACCAAGCATCATTTGAATAAGATTTAGGGGACTAGAAAGAAATGGTTAGATCAGCTAGGGCTACTGTATCTAGGCCAGTGATGGCGAACCTTTTAGAGACCGAGTGCCCAAACTGCAACCCCAAACCCACTTATTTATTGCCGGGTGCCAGGTGGGCGTGGCCCACTGGGTGGGCATGGCTCTGGTGGTTATGGCAGATTGGGTGGATGTGGCCAAGGTGGCCGTGATCACCTCGATGTTGCTCATGGGGAGGGACGCCTGTGGGGGCAGGGTTGGGGGAGATCCAGGGGGTCTCTGGCAGGTAGGGCGGAGGGCAGGAGGCTTGTCCTGGGTGAGGCGAAGCAAGGCGAGGAGGGCGGGGGTGCCATTGTCACAGGGCAAGGTGAGGCAGGGGTCGGGGCGGCTGCTGCCTGACACCATCAGCCCTCGCACACAGAGGCCAGCGAGTGCATGGGTGCTGGGATGCATCCAGCCATATGGGCCCTCGGTGAGTTAGTGGGCGGCTGGTTGAAGAGGGACGGTTGCCATCTCCGGGGCATGGCGTGCTTGCCCACAGAGAGGGCTCTGAGTGCCGCCTCTGGCACGCATGCCATAGGTTCACCACCACTGATCTAGGCTACAAAAGCCTGGGGAAATATTCGCTGGTAACAAAAGATTTTCTGTATGTGTTTTCTAACCCTGGGAGAAAAGACAAAGGAAAACCTTATATGCAGTAATGTTCTAGCCCCATCTTTGTGTTGGCTGCTGTACAACAAAGAAAGGCTCTTGTTCTCAGCTAGCTCTCTTCAGCAAAGAATATAGGGCTATCTTCACTTAGTACTATTTTCATTCAGTATCTGTGGGGAAAGGGCTGTCTTATTTAAGAAGATTCTTTTCATTGAAGAATAGCAATTTATACGAAGAAGCAGTCCCGTTTACTTTTTCTGACAATACTACAATAGAAATGAACGCTTGTGGGAAACAGCATGGCAATCGTGCAATAGATTCAGAAAGACCGTGGAAGTTGCAATGAGATTAGTTTCAGAGGCTGAACCTTTTTTTTTTTTTAAGGAAATAGGAAATGAATCCCTCCTTAGTATATATTAAACTATATTGGTAGTTTAATGGTAAGTTACAGAGTGTTATCTGTAACCATTTGCCACACTGTTTCAAAGGGTTCCTCAATTTTTTGCAGGTTACAAACACCCTTCCCTTCCCTGTTGATAGAAAACTACACGGAATCAAAAGGCCTTGCCTCAGTAGAAAGGCACACTCTGATATAATTCAGTTCCTACTTGTAACCTACCAGCAACAACCAAAAATATCAAGAGACAGTTGGATCATATAGCTCAGTGGTGGCGAACCTATGGCACGCGTGCCAGAGGCGGCACTCGGAGCCCTCTTGATGGGCATGCGTGCTGTCACCCCAGCTCCACCACTCCCTGTAGCCCCTCCTCACCAGCAGCCCCCTGGAGGAGAGTCGCCCAGGGTGCGGCCTGTGCAGAGCAGCGCAGCCAAAGACATGGCAGCCGGGCAGCAAGGACAAGACTCTGCCTTCACGCCCCATCACTTGCAGGTGATGCTGTGAGGTGCAGACAGAGGGCATGGCCGCCATGACGTTGCTGGGCCACCTGGGCGATCAGCTGTGGCGGGCTGTGGAGGCGGTGGGTGGCCTTGCAGGCAGGAGAGGTGGGGGTGGGGCAGGGACAAGGCGGTTTTTGGGCACTCGATCTCTATAAGGTTCGCCATCACTGATATAGCTGGATCATATATGTCCAACTCCAGAGAAAAATTGGAATGTTGTTAGAATACAGAGAAGTCATACTGTTGGAAGAAAAATATTAAGAGGAGAAGATTCAATACCTGTAGTTTTAAATAAAGTTTCATATCACCCCAGTGTGGATTATGAGGATTTTTCTTCAGAATGAATCTAAGCACTGGTTCTCTCTTGTCCAAATCACAGTCTTTCAGAAGATACTCTTGCTTTGCTTCAGTCCTTGTTAAGAGTTTATGTTTGTTTTCAACATCTCTGAAATAAGACCCCAATCCAAACTGAACATGCATTCTATCTATTTGCATATATCAAATAATATAGAGGCTACATCACTAACTAATACTTAACTTTGTATTTTTATGTTCAGTGGAACATATTTTAAGATAAGCACACCGGATATCAGGTTGGTCTGTGCTAAAAAAAAGCCTTGAAAATTATTTGGAAAAAGAGCTTCAAACTTTACAAAACCACAGTTTTTTTTTTCCAACTTCCACATGAACCTGAAAAAAACTATAACTGCTTTAATGAACAGAATATTTAAATCAATCCTTAAGCCACATCTTTTTTCAAGCCTTGTGTGGAAGCCTGTAAAAGGGTGCATTAAATGAACATTAAAAGGTATGCTCGGGTGAAATCAAACACTTCTTCCAAATCATTTTTGAAGCATGCACAGTATTAAATATCAATGGAACCACGCTGTAATCTGAATTTTATCTTTAAGCATTCCACTTGACAGAAATAAGCACAAGTTTGACAATTTAAAATAGAATCCTAAACACACTTACTAGAAAGTAAGATTCCCTGGGAATATTTTCCAAATGTGCATCCATAAGTGCTATTTAAATAGGTGCAACACTTAAATTAATCCCACTGAAATCAACAGGATTGTTACAAGTGCTTAAATCTGTTTTGATTATGCTCAAACCTCTATGTATCTGTACTTATCTAACACTGGAAATATGTTGACAACGATGTACTGTATAAAGATAATCAACACAGCATATATTATATATATATATATATATATATATATATATATATATATATATATATATAATATGCAATCTTATAAATGTTTACTTATTCATGTTTACACTATAACAAAGATCTTTATCGTCTGTAAGTATATTTGGGATTTCAGCCTTTTAGTCTGTTTCTACATGTACATCTATATGTTTCTACATGTACATTTATCAAAATAAATGTCATTGTGTTAATTGAGTATATTCTTGCAAAAGGACACACTCCGTTTCTGTTAAAATTTATGGTTTTAAAATGTATTCATTTGCATATTACCAACATTTGGGGGGCTAGTATACATTTAAAAATATTTTGATTATTCCTTCTTGATTATCCAAAAATATAACACTTGTTAAAAGTAATATTTTTAACTGATTGATCTGATCTGATGCTGCACAACTCCAATGACTCTGGACTTAAATTAAGTTTATAATTATTTTTTTACACCAAGCTAGAAATTTTTTCAATGCTAACAAAATGAAACACTAAATCCAGTTATTTAGTCATTCTTAATCCACAGTTGCCAAGAGTCAGAACTGACTTGAAAGTACAGAAACAAAATCGCTGTACCGGCAATTATCACATGTTGCCACGTCAAAATGGTTCATGAGATAGGAGTCCATGAATTCCTTCCCACATTCTTCGCAGATTAGATAATCAAATTCTAATACCGGCCCTATTAAAATAAGAACGGAAGCACAATAATGACAATTCAAGCTGTTAAATTTATCCAAAATAGTAAAGTAGCAATAACAGTAAATGCAAATACAACATAAAAAAAATAAGCTTTGGAATCTTGGAAATTACATTTTATTGTGTTTTATTGTCTATAATATTTATTTGTTATGTATATGTAGGGGGTGGGTCTATACATATGTTCTAGGTGTGTGTCATGTATGTGTTTCACTTTGAGAGCAGGCAACTAAATTTCATTTTTGATGTGTGCCGTTGTGCCCACAGTAAAAAAATGACAATAAAGGTTATCTTATCTTATCTTATTTATAAACCTTGATAAAAACAAGCACTGCTTATTAGAACTAAGCTTGCTTTTCCAGGTTAGGCGAGCTGTGCTGTTGATGTGGTTTTATGATACTCTACCTTGGATAACAAGGGTTATTGTTCTGTAACTATTGATTTCAATCTTTGTATGCTGCCCACAGTAACTTTAAGGAAATTCTTGACTCAGTAATGCAACCTATTCCAACCTGGTAATCTCTAGATCTGTTGTCTCCATCCGTACTCACTGTAATTCTCAGTCAATTTTAGATTAAGATTAGCAAATTTATATTCTTATTTAACCAATGCTGAACCTAAAACAAGAACATATGGCTCTTTTTGATCAAAATGTCCTATGTCTTGCTTATTCAGGCACTTATTAAAATAAATCAAATTACCAGGGGGATGTACAATTTTCTCAGTCTGGTGTCGATTTTTTTCTTCTTTCTCTTCCTCCTCCAGAAAAAAACCTCCTCCTGTATCTATTGTCTTTGGAGGTGCTTTAACTTTTGAACTGCCTGTAAAGATAAAATAACAATTTGTGTACCTGTACAGATAAAATGACTTTATTTTGAAACGACTCCATAACATTCATTATATAAACTACTTTCAGTCACTGATGAGACTTCAACACTTTTAGACTTCAACAGCTTCAACACTTTTAGATCACAGTCTTGAAATATATACATTTACACATCTTGTATCCACCTCAAACTGTGATGCAATAGATCTAATTCATAAAACAAACTGGGAAGATACGAGTGAGTCCATATATTCACTGAGCCACTGTTTATGTAATTACATTTCACTGAATGAAGCTCAATTGGCTAGGTTTGCCCATCATGCTAATAATATAATACAGAATGACAATGGCTTGGTTTAGTCAGCGCATTAAGCCAATAACGTCAATGTGCATTTTTTCTTCACTTTTGAATAAAATATCCCTCTCTGTAGCTTGTTCCATAAACATTCTTCCTTATTATTACGATGCAGGAATGCAGGCTGTGAATGCAAGTCCAATGAAAGTAGATGGATATTATGGGAACCACGCTTTGCTTCTCTGTGCACTCGCTGCAAAAGAATGTGGCAACCCTTTTTACAATAAACTTGTTTAATTTCTCAGAATGTACACTTTTATTAGGGAAAGTCTTAAGAACATCCCTACATCATCATCTTCATATGACTTCCTTATAAAGTGCACAAACTAACAGGAGATACCGTCCCCTATATGACACAATAACAGGATAGGGCAAACCTTCGCCAGGAGAAGGGTAGGGCCAGTTCGCCAGTCTAGCTTGCCTGAGCATCAAAGCCCGCTGGCGGTTCCTCTCAATCTTTGCCCTCATGGTCTCGGAGAGTGTGTTTTTTTCTCCTTTGGCAGCACTTGGATCCATGGCCAAATTCAGAACCACTCATCTAAAAATGGGAAGAGGTAGTTGAGCAATAAATCAATAGCCAAAGGACCGCTCAATATCAATTTGACCATATGTAACAAAACGTCGAATGAGGTGAGATGGCATGAATACTTGGATGGGTGATTGGTGGGCTGCTCGACTGCAAGTCGACCCCCCCCCCCAAAAGCAAAACCCGACAATCTATTTCGCAAGGCTGCCAAGAAAACTGCAGAGACGCATTCCCCCCCCTCCAAAAAAGAGGCGCCACTACTGATAACGTGGGCTTCAGCGCACAAATGTTTGTGCTCACTTTATGTCACCGGTCTTTGTTGTTTTTCCTTGCTAGCTTCAGCAAGGGAGATTTAGCAACTCGGCTCTCAGCAAAGGCTAGCCCGCGCCGCCCGTCAAACACGGTGACAGCAAGAAAATCCGAGAACACCCTTCAACACCACGACCACCCGCGGCCACAGTACTTACAGGAAGCACAAAGTATTGGCTTCTTTAACAGAGTGCGCATGCGCTGGTAAAAGCGCACACTCACTCACTCACTCACTCACTCACCGAGATCCAATGGGGTGCTTTTGACCATAGATTTAAAAATAAGAAAAGACAATCTTTCCATAGGTAGCGGGTTTTTCAATGTTTTTTTCAGGGCGACAGGATTTTTTTTTTGTAATTTTTCCATTTTTAAAAATGGTCCTGTACAATTATCTTTATAGTGTGCAATATAAAGTCGGGATGAGAAAGATAAGTTTGGTGTTATATGATCTCAAGAGCAAATCGTAGCTACGCTAAGAGTAGTTTACAGAACTGACTGAGCATGTAACCAAGATCAAAGCCAATCTCTTAGGTCTCAGTAGAAGACGCTTTCTCTGAGGACATGTAGGCATATCTTCAAAAATTGAGGCAACTCCAAATTTGAAAAAAATCGAAGGATGATTTCGAAAGAGCAAGAACTCCAATTTTTCTAATTTTCTGCTGTACAATATGTGTTTGGCGGCCAGCCGCCTGGATTGCTGGGAGTTGTAGTTCGGCCACATCAGATGTATAAATTGCTCAATATAGAAAATAAAGCAAGCACGTGGTGTTTTGACAACCGACAGTAGAGTGCGCTGAAACCTTTGCAAAATTAATATCTTCTACTTTTGTACAAATTGCGTAGTTGGCGTAAACATACAGAATTATGGTGGTAGTAAACATTACAGAAATATAGCCTTCAATCTTTTGATTTTATTTTAAAATTGAAATAATTAATTACATGCCATCAAGCCCAGTAGATTTTTTCCCCCCTAATCTGGTCTTTCAGATCTTCCAATGGTGCACCCATTACACTGTAATTGAATCCTTCCAGCTCCCGATGACCATCTTCTCTTTCTCTCCACCTTTCCCAGCATTACAGTCTTTCTCAGAAAACTAAGTCTTTGCGTTATATGTTCAAAATAGGATAATTTGAGACTGGTACTCCGGATTGATTTGTTTGATGATCCATTTCTTGGTATTCTGGGTTGCCCATAAGATTCCCTTCTCCCATACCAAAGTTCAAAAGCATCAATTCTCTTCCTGTCCTGTTTCTTCTCAAAGTCCAAGTTTCACTTCCGTAGAGTGTCACAGGGAATACCATGGTTTATGTAATTATGTAATGTGTAGGTGTAATCACGTTGTGACATCTGGATATCTTTCTAAGGCCTTCATGGCTGCCCTATTGAGGACTAGTCGGCAGGGTGTTTCTTGACTGCTTATTCTTTTATTCTGCTGTTGGCCTATCCCAGGGGTAGGCAACCTTGGCTCTTTTATGACTCGTGGACTTCAACTCCCAGAATTCCTGAGCCAGCATGGCTCAGCTTGGAAAGCTCTCCCTTTCCCCTCAGCATGGCTGGCTCAGGAATTCTGGGAGTTGAAGTCATAAAAGAGTCATAAAAGAGCCAAGGCTTCCTACCCCTGGCCCTATCCCAAAAGGTGGAAGCTACCTGCCATTTCAGTATACTCTGTGTCAGTTCTAAGGTTGGTCGTACTTCTTTTAATATGTTTGGTCTTGGTGAGTGGTTCTGCCCACACAATTCTCAATAGCCCAATGTGGTAGCTGAATATCACAGAGGGATAAAGAGGTCAACATGGAAGGCAGTACATCTCACTAGGACAGACACTGAAATGCCATTGAGGATTTGTGCTTTGGCAAGAGTAATAACGTATTCCTAACCAGCACCACTTGATTGAAACTTCTCTGCACTCAGTTACTGGTTAGAAAGAAGAACTTCAAACTGGTGATTAAAACTATTTCCAAGCAAGAAAATATGCCTGCCTCCAGAGCATGAGAGTGCTCTGTAAGAGTTAGAGACAGGAAACAGAAAAGTCTCTGCTGTATATTTTACTATGGAATGAGAAGTCTCGGACCACGGAAACTCATATCAAGGGTTTTTGAAAATTAGCCTTGCAGATTGCAACAAATCCTATTTCAACTAAATATTCAAAACCAGGACATTGTGACTTAAGCCTTGATGTTGCAACACCACGGTATCTGTTACTTTCACAATCAGAAATCTGATTGTGATTATTTATTTTGTTACTTTTTAATTAATAACAAAAAGAAAAAAGAGCCAAATATAATGGTAATATATGTTGTCAGTAAGGATAAAAAAAATGCATAAAATTGCTGCTTTCCCCAGAAGGGAGTTGTGTGATGGAATTATATTTATAAGTGGGCTAAGCACAAAAGACTTGAGTCTTCATCCACAACTGAAACCAAGCCAAAGTGGTATTATTATTATCAGTATTTACATCATCCTTTCCCAAGCAATGGTGCAATGGTGCTCTCTCTGTTTTTCTTTAAGAGGAGGGACTGCAATACTTCTAGCACTTTGTGTAATATTTGTTTTCTTTATAACTGTATTGCATATGTGTGTGTGTATATGTCTATGCGTGTGTGTGCCTCTGTGTGTGCGTGTCTGTGTTTGTGTGTGTGTGTTGGGTATACAGGATGTACCAAACACCAGGTCTCAAGACAACTTTCTGTGAAAAAAGAAATTAACAAAACATATTGTGACTGACCCATGGAACCCAATCTTTGATGCTCCCTGTTTACCCACATGAAGACATTCTGGAGGTCAGAGGGGCCAAGTAGTCTGTATCAGCTCCTGAATATCTAGAGCAGGGTTTTCTGAAACTTTCCTCAAAGGACCCTTTCTCACTTTTAAAAATTATGGAGAACCTCAAAAGAGCTTTGGTTTATATACATGATAGCATTTATCATATATTGACCTATTGAAAATTGAAATTGACGCATTCACTACTGCTACTGCTGCTCACAATTGTTTGATGAGATTTTAACATTGTATTATTTTTCACCATGGGCTGGCAAATAATTGTGATATCATGGAACTCTGAGAAGGTCTTGGGGGATTCCCACACGCAAGTCCTAGGGCCAGAAACCTTGTCTTAGAGGAAGGAACATAAGAGGAGCTTTGTGGGAAGAATCCAGGGAAAGAAATATTTTGTGGAATATTAAAAACACAGAATATATTTCCCCAAAGGTTGGGGTTAGGGTTAATTTGATTTAACTGAGATTTATAGTGGGAAGGACCAGTGTGTGAAAACCAAGAGTTCTGTTTCCCTTTCTTTTCCTCTTTCCTTGTCTTTGTGTGTGTGTCTGCGTCAAAGTCTTTGTGCATTATGTAAATGTTAACTGTTAAATGTCCCTAATCCCTAGAGCAGTGGTGGCAAACCTATGGCATGGGTGCCAGAGGCGGCACTCAGAGCCCTCTCTGTGGGCACACATGCTGTTGCCCCAGCCTTGCCTCCGCCCACAACCTCCTCCTCACCAGCAGCCTCCCTGGAGGAGAATTGCCCCTGAGCATGGCCCACACGGAGCAGCGCAGCCAAGAACATGGCAGCCAGGCAGCATAGACAAGACTCTGCTCTCATGCCTCAACGTGCACAGTCGATGCTGTGGGGCGTGGGCAGAGGGCGTGGCCGCCATGGTGCTGCTGAGCTGCCTGGGCAATCTGCAGCGGGTCCTGGAGGCAGTGGGTGGCCCTGCGGGCAGGCAGGGTGGGACAGAGCAGAGGCGGGGCAGGGGCGGGGCGGGGGCAGGGGCAGTTTCTGGGCACTTGGTCTCTAAAAGGTTCACCATCACTGCCCTAGAGAAAAAAATATTCTGCCTTTTTAATATTCCCCAAAATATTTCTTTCTCTAATTCTTCTCACAGCTTTTTCCTCATTTCTCCTGGTATCTAGCGAGAGCCCTCTAAGAATATTAGGGGCTGAAGAAGGCACAGTAATGTTTCAATAAATACATTTTGCTAAGATTCACCTTCCTTTTTCAAATGATTATGATTATATATTGAAAACAAGATATTAACTGACTAGTATAGATAGGTAAGCAATTATATGTGGTCCAATAAAAGATCAAGTGCTAGATTCAAGATTTTGCAGGATTCGAGAGAGCAGAGTGGGCCAGCGGCTCCAAACATTAAATTGTTATTTAACATGGATTTCAGAATCCATTGTAATTCCTTATATTTCTGCTGCTCCTATGGCATGGTCAAGAATTTCAGATCATTTGCATAAATACTTTTGGTTTGATAAAAAAAATAGAAGTAAACAATTTATAAGAGACCATGCAATATGGAGTAATATAACAAAATAGATGGGGCACAAAGAGCAAAAGACTAAGTCCAGAGTTTTCACCTGTTATTATTAAATACCTATTTTTACATACAGAAGGATATAAAAAAATGTGCACAATGGAAAGGCAATCATTCATTCAGATTGCAAGAAGATGCAAGATTGTTAAGAAGATGAAGGTAGTTTACTGTAGGTTTCTTCCAATAAGTAATTCAGCATGAAGAAAATGGCAGAAACAAGGGGGAATTCAATATTCTTAGATTTAACAAAATTCAAAAATCTTATACAGTTAGTTCTTGACTTACTACCATTCTAAGTTATGAACATGCTGAACAAATGGTGGTTATGACTGGTCCTTGCAGTTCTAGCTGTCTCATCATTCCCATGGTCCATAATCATGATTTAAGTGCTTACCTGGATGTCAGTCCCCTTTGGTAACTTCCTGCCAGCTTCTCCCCTGACTTATTGTGAGAAGCTGACAGAGAGTTACCTTACTTAACAACAATAGGACTTGGTTAACAGTTGCAACCAGGACTGCAGGGATTGCTTTGCAACTACATCACTCCCTTATTCTGGTCCCAATTGCCATTATAAGTTGAGGATTACCTTTAATAGGTTATTTAGCAGGTGTTTTTGGTTTAATTTATCAATTATTAGTGAAATTCAATACAGAGCAGGTCAGAAACTGTGTGATTAAATGGATGCAAAATTTGAGTATGGTAATAGAGGTTTGTTGAAAGGATCACACACCTCGGTTCTAATTTACATGAAAGCTGGGACATGACCACTGAAGTAAAGACAAGGATAGAGAAAGCTCAAACAGCATTCTTCAAAATGAAAAAGGTCTTCTGC